AGTAGGCATGTTATGTAGATTTGCGGAATCAAGGTCATTTTGCGCGCACGTGCTTGCAAGAGCGCGCACGTGCAAAACTTAAAATGACCAATATAAAATGGATATAACCGTAACTTTTCTATTTTGTGACGAAATATTTTGAAACTTATAATGTAAGGATAAATTAGTAGTAAGCACAAGATGACATGGTCAAAATAGCAAGATCGCACGCGCATGCACGTGCGCTTCGCTCTGATTGGCTGAAACTAAAGTCTCAATATCTTTTTTGTTTTTTGATAAAATCATTTGAAATTTTGAACATAGTCATATATTAGGGAGATCTACAGCCTGTATTATAAGATTTATCATGAAAGCATGTGCATGCACATGTGCTTGCAAGAGCTCGCACGTGCAACACGAGAAATGTCCAATATAATTGATACAGACGTAACTATTTAAATTATTGATGAAATGCTTTGAAACTCATATTATAAGTATATATTAGAAGCATAAACAAAATGACATGGTCAAAAAAGTAAGATCTCACGCGCATGCACGTGCGCTTCGCTCTGATTGGCTGAAACTAAAGTCTCAATATCTTTCTCGTTTTTTGACGAAATCCTTTGAAATTTTAAACATAGGCATGTATTAGGATATCCTACAATAAGATTTATAGCAATTATCATGAAAACGCGTGCATGCACATGCGCTGCAATCTGATTGGCTTATGCTTTAAATAGCTATAACTCCCTTGGTTTTCAACCAAACAGGATGGGATTTGGAACATAGATAGATATAATGGACTTCTACAAGATGGTATAGTCATCATGCACACGCATACACGTGCGTGTACGTGCACTGCAATCTGATTGGCTGAAACTTTAAACAGCTATAACTCCCTTGGTTTTCAATCAAACGGGGTGGGAATTAGAACATAGATAGATGTAGTGGACCTCTACAAGAAGGTAGGCCATCATGCTCATGTATGCACGTGCTTCTACGTGAAATGAGTAAAATCAAAAATACAATTTAATGAGCGTATTTTTTTTTTATACTTTTGGATTAAATACTTTAATATTTAGTATATTGAAATATATAGATTGTATAGACAAGATGATATAGTCTTTACGCACATGCATTCACATGCGCACGCGTGGAATTCTAAAATTTGAATGAACTTGGTACTTTCTGGGTAAATGTTGTTAAAGCCTCAAATGCATAGAGTTTGTCTTATTTAATGAAGCTTACAGGGAATGTGGCACCAAAAGGAAGTTGGGGAGCGTTTGGGGAACATCTGTAACGGTCCCCGTTACAATTAGCACTAGTTACATTTCGCGTTGTAACAGACCACTCTTCCTCCATGCCTCGTCGTAAAATGTGACTTACTGGATTTATCAGACTTGAACGAGGCGATACTCAAGTTTAAGTATGAATAAAATGGTCTTGTATTTTGTTGTGAAGAAAGGGGATTGAAATTATTTAAATTTAGGTATACATACATGCATGATGTAAAATCATTAGGCTTAATAATTCATTAAATTTAATGAACTTTTGATACAACCGGGTCCGGAGCTTTAATTTTAGCCACCCTTCCTCCGGGTCCAATGTTTGGTTAAAAATAGAATTTTAAGTCTTTCAATTCATTTTTTGAATCTCCTATTGGGATTCCACTAAAAAGATATGTCCATAATCAATACCTGCACTTTATCAAGAAAGAAAAACCAATCTTTTTCAAAATACTCCTACGTTTTAAGTAGTACCTACCTCATCTTTTGAGTGTTGATCAATTGATTGTATATTGTTTAACGTCCCTCTCGAGAATTTTTCACTCATAAGGAGACGCCACAACTTGCCGGTGGAGAGCTACAAATTTTGTCCTATACTCGGTACTAATGGCAATTGAGTAGTGAGGGATCTTTTTTAATTGTTGATTGATTGATTGTGTGTTGGTTAAAGTCTCTCTCAAGAATTTTTCGATCATATGGAGACGCCACCACTTGCCGGTGGAGAGCTACAAACTTTTTTCTTTACTCTGCAATCAGGGTCATTGAGTAGTAAAGGATCTTTTTCGTGCCTCATCTTTTGAAATCTGCATGGTTATAGTGGTGCCTTGACCATGTACAGCATGATTTAAATTTTTAAATATTTCATTTCTGTCTTACTGTTCTGTATCAAGTGTTCTTCTTTATACATGTGTATTCGTTGGTAAACACATCTTGTTTTTCTATATCTTTATGCCATCGTAAACGAAGTTTCGGGGATAAATAATTTTGCCCTATCCGTCTGTCTATCTGTTTCTCTGTCTGTCTGTTAGTCCGCAAAAACCTTGCCCATAACTTTTGAGTTATTGGAGCTATGGCTTTCATATTTTACAGATGTATTCCTTGTGACAAGACCTTTCTTTGGATACCATCAAATTGGACCTGTTGTCCTTGGGATTTGACTTATTTCTACAAAAAATACCACTTTGTAACCTTGACTGTAACTTTTGAACAGTTGGAGCAAGGACTTCCATACTTCATATGTGTATTCATTGTGACAAGACCTTTCAGAGGATATAACTTTTTTTTAACCTTGTGACCTAAACCTTATAGTTCGACCCTCTTTTGAAAAACGTTAACTTTGGCATAACTTTTGAACAGTAAGAACTAGGGCTTTCATTTTTCACAAGTGTACTCTTTGTAACAGTACATTCCTCTGGGTACCTACACTTTTGACCTTGACATTTGGAGTTTGATATGCATTTGAGAAAATTCAACCCTCACCATATGCTGCCATACGCGGGCCTCAGTGTCTCATAAATACATCTTTGTTTTCTAAAATTCATATAATGCTTTTGTAGTGTGTATGCATAGTCTATGTACCTCTGACCAGTGCTATCTCAAAAGTTCTCTAATACCACTGCTATGGCACGCCAAATTCACAAAAATGAGATAAACCTAGTTTCACAATTGATAAACTAGGTTTATCGAACGTAAACTATAGTTTACAAACCGTAAACTATAGTTAACGATTCGTTAAGTATAATTTTCATCTGTAAAACTATATTTAACGGTCGTTAACTATAGTTTACGAATGCTAATCTAAGTTTATCTGTCTGAATAAAGTGTTAACAATAGATTTTGTTGATAAACATAGATTCACGTTTGTAAACTATAGTTTACAATCGTAAACTATAGTTAAGAGTTGTTAATCATAGTTTCACAAATCGTGAAACTATATTTATCAGATCGTTAACTATAGTTAACGGTTTGTAAACTATAGTTTACAAATCGTGAAACTGTATTTATCAGATAATCTATGTTTTGCAATCGCAAATGATAGTTTTCGGTGTTAAGTATAGTTTACAGTTGTGAAACATAGATTATCGCGTTAACTATAGTTTACAGATGTAAAATATAGATTAACGTTGTTAACTATAGTTTACAACTCTGAACCATTGTTGTCAGAAACTATTATTTCAATTGTTCTATGTAGTCTTTGGATTGTTTGTAGTCAATACCATGGCCTTGTCAGCAAATACAGTCTAATTAAATTAGATGTTAGATCTGCTCCCATACTTGCTACACTATCATTTGATCATCTAACAACATTCTACAGAGGGTCATGCCAGAGATCAAATTCTATCAACCAATCAAGTTGTCGTCTACAAAATCACTGTATATTTGTTGAAGTGAATAAGTCTGAAGTTGTACCTAATTTGACCTCTGAAGTAACCCTGGGATGTTGTTAGATGCTAGTGTAGCAAGTATGCAAGGAGATCTAACATCTAATTTTAATTACTAAGTAGATTGCAGCAAATACATTCTATTATTAATAATGTGTTTTACGGTGTGACCGTTGGGGCAAGCGCAGTTGTACCATCAAAAACATTCTAAAAATTGATCAGCTAATTCAAACATCAAGCCAAACGAGACATCTCGACTAGCTGTGACGTCACGGAGCTCGTCGGAGCTTACGGAGACAGCCGAGCGTCTCTTTGAAACTATAGACCTTGTGCAATTTTAGTTGATAAACATTGTAGAATTATTTTTTGATTCTTTGAAAGATTTCTACAAACTGTTCTAGCCTTTTATGCTTTACGTTATTATTTATTTATTTATTCATTTGCACAAAGGACATTGGGTAGTGCAGAAATTCTGGGAATGTTTCACAGAGAAATTTGGCTGACGTATGTACAGATTTCAATCCGAATTTTCTCTGTTCTTACACGTTAGTCTATTGAGCTTGCTGCGCTCGCTATAAGGCAAATGCTGACTGACATTTTTAAAATTAATCATTTGGCCAATCAATATTTACAAACTGAAATATCATGTCAAGGGGCACACAGTGGGTGTGTCTGGTCTATAGAAGGATTCTCATTCCTCTATGGCACCTGATCCCACCTCTGTTGTTTTGAGAGGTTTGTGTTTGCTCTGCTCCTGATTTGTACAGTTTTAATGGACTTTTGAGCTTGATTACCCTTTGTTATCTGCACATTTCATATATTTATGTAGGCCAGTCAGTGCACTACAACATGAATCTGTTGGTTAAGTACTTATTCATTAGTTAATTTTGAAATAGCTTTAAAAAATCATTAAGCTTTCATAAACTAATGCATTTCAAAAGATAAAAACACATAATATTTAGGATTACTTTACTTCTGGTTGCCTTATTATATAAGTATGAAGTAAAAAAAAACACATTCAAAACAACAAATTTGCAAATACATGTACATGTAGGCAACATGTAAGTTATAATTGTTAGCTGAACAATTATGCATGAAGTTTTAGCTAATATAAAATGTATACAAATTAGCAAAATATAATGGAAACCCTGAATACCCAGTAGGAAGAATTTAGAAGTTTGCTTTAAAAAATGAAATATAATTTTAATAAACTTTTATATTTTCATATTTTATGCCAAGAAATATAAATCTTACCTCCAAGGTAATTTTTTTTTTAGACAATAAAAACTTAAGACTGTGTGTTTTTTTAGTTAAGGGTGGTAATTTTTTTCTGATTTTTTTTTTTGAGGGGGGGGGGGGGGTGGGTGATAAAAACTTCAGATTCCTGTGATATAAACTTGGCAAAGGTGGTTTAATTTTTTTTTAAAAATGAAAATTTAAGAAAAACTGACACAGTAAAAAATCCGAGTATATAAAACCTCTGATGGCATAAAAGACCAGCACCTGCATTATAACAATAAAAAACAAGAGGCCCATGGGCCACACCGCTCACCAGACTTACTTTGGCCATGCTATTCTTCACCAGATTCTCCCCCTCGTTACACCTATAGTGGCCCAACCTACCCCCAGGGATCATTATTTGGAAAATTTTGAATCTAACCTGACCCAGGATGCTTCCACATAAGTTTCAGCTTTCTTGATGTGGTTCTTGAGGAAAGGATTTTTCTAATATAATTTAATGTAAAACTTGGATTGTCTATTGTGGTCCCGTTTTACCCTGGAGGTCATGATTTGAGAATTTAGAATCTATACTATCTGAGGACACTTCCACATATATTTCAGCTTTAATGGCCAGTGGTTCTTGAGAAGAAAGTTTTTAATGACCCTGTCTTGTCTTGATTATCTTCCCTTGGAAGGCCTTCATTTTAATAATTTAAACTCCCCTTCACCCAAGGATGCTTTGTATCAAGTCTGATTTAAATTGGCCCAGTGGTTCTTGAGAAGAAGTTGAAAATTTGAAAAGTTTACAGATGGAAGGACACACAGCTAGACTGGGGGACGGATGGACGACAGACATTGGGTGATCAGAAAAGCTCACTTTAGCTTTTCAGCTCAGGTGAGCTAAAAAGCAGTTTAAGGACATCATAACATTGAGAGTTTGTATAAACTATAAAAGAATACATGTTCCATAGAACACAACATCAGCGACATTCAGGTAAACATTCCTTAGAGTAAATAGTACATCACATATATGTACATTGTACATAGAATACAAAAAGTCATGTCAATCTTATACATGTACTTCAACAACAAATCTATTTAAAAGAAAAAACATTTAATTCGATCTGCATTCTCTTGTTTTAAAGTGGAGAGTTATTTTTCTTTCCTCCACAACAGAGTTATTAAGAGAAAATTTTGTGTTTGTGAAATATAACACAGATCTTGACTTGTTCACAGTGGTGATATCCAGGGATATTTTTTTAATCATTCAGAATCAAAATATATGAAACTATACACCATTTCATGAAAGTTTGAACTTTTTATTTTAATCTGACACAACAAAATGAAAACACAGTGACCAGATAATTTCTATTGTATAAAATACCCACAATCCCCATTATTTGTGATGTAGTACTTTCTACTGCAGAAAATAAATTTCTCAATGAGGATAAATAACAACACATCAAAACCAATTCTGCATTAAATGATGAAATTTCCCATCAATGCTCACATTAAATAAAACTAAATATTGATATACATGATATATCAACAAATAAAAGTACCATCAAGAATGAAAAATACGAAAAAAAATAAATAAATGTACAATCTCAATCGGACTTTAAATGAAATTGAATTTACAACCATTTCAAATATTAAAGGATACATGTACTTTTATTGAATCATTTATCCAATTTTGAAATGCCTCTTTGTAGAATCTTTCAAGTCATATGACTTAAACATAGCATTACCAATAGATAAAATTTTAATTATTGTATAATGAGCTGATAAAAAGACTAATTTTAAATCTTTAATTAAATGCATAATGCATCAGTATTATAGAATCAATACATTCGGAGGTAACTTTCGAGGTAACAGGCATGGAATGTTCATGAAAATTTGAAATTATTTATTATTTCTAGTGTGTGTTTAGTAGATCTATTTTTTCTATGCAAAAATATACATATAAATTTGTAATAAATCTAGAAAAACTTGATCTTTATCTTTTCTCCCCTTTTTTCTCTCAGTTTTTCCCTAATTACTAATCATTTATTCTTTCAATTTTACTTACATTTAATGATTTATAGTTAGCCAAAAAAGTTACAAGATTAAATGCTTTTAAAATGAAATAAGATGAAATACCAAACTTAAAAGTCATTGCCATTTTGAAATATAACTATAGGTATGCAACCATAGTTAAATTAAACAAACATGTTTCTTATTTTAACAGATGTAGGACACTTTTCTAAATAAAGTGATATATTTCTGAAATATTTCAGTATAGTAAATATTCACAGTAATCACAACAGTGAAAACAAGAGAAAAAAATCTCTTTTTTCAATCCAGCAGAAATACTGGTTCTTAAAAACACTACAAATAAATAATAAAAAAAATAGTAATATTAAACTTCTTTTTGTTCAACAACTTAGAAAAAAAGTTAACATAAAAAATCATTAAATTTATCCAAAACATCAAATATAAAATCCAACAATAATAAATTTTAAAATATCAATGGTTCACAAGGTTCAAAACATGTCCATAAAAAGTTTGATAAAAATCTTAAAGTACATGTATACGTTTACATTGAAGAAATTGCCATAAGAAGTAGATCCGTACAAAAAAATTCAATAATACCCCCACCCACACACTCCCTTAAGTCCTACTGATTTGGGTAGGGAGTGTTGTTTGGTGGGTATGGCATGTTTCCAGCTGGTGGGTAGGGGGCGTTGCCTGTGGGGTAGGGTGCCTCACCATAGGGTGGTGCCGAGGGTGCAGACGGTGGGTGTAGGGGGTAGGGCAGAGATCCGTTAGAGGACATTGGTGGCTTCTCCCCATCTGAAAATACACAGATACCAAATATATATTATCCTCATTTCATCCAAAGTGTTTAATACAAACAAATTCTATTTGTTTTAGAAAAGGTGGCATTTGTCATTCTGAGAAAAAACTGGGTATCTTAAAATTATGTCTCATTTTAACCTGACAAAATACAAGGACACATGTATGTATATTCATTATATGGCATTTAAATCTAATTCAAATATTCATCATTTCAAACATTATGCCAAAAAAAAAAAACCAGAAGTCTCTGTCGAGACTGTAGCTCTACTGGTTTATACTTAAAACAAAGGAAGAGAAAAGTAGCAGTTGGGACTTGAGACTTTAAATCAGCAATAAATAGAACCAGAAGTCTCTGTCCAGACTGTAGCTCTACTGGTTTGTACTGATCAAAAACCGATGCACAGAATTATGTATCTTAGTGTAGTCTACTTGTGTGATAAGTTATATTGAAATCAGACCAAAACTGTAGAAGGAGTAGCATTTTAAAGGAATTCCACAGAAAATTCTTTTTTTAGTAACCATGACAACATCGTTCATCGAAATCAAAAACCGATGCACAAAATTATGTATCTTAGTGTAGTCTACTTGTGTGCCAAGTGATATTGAAATGAGACTAAAACTGTAGAAGGAGTAGCGTTTTAAAGGAATTCCACAGAAAATTCTTTTTTTAGTAACCATGACAACATCGTTCATCGAAATCAAAAACCGATGCACAAAATTATGTATCTTAGTGTAGTCTACTTGTGTGCCAAGTGATATTGAAATGAGACTAAAACTGTAGAAGGAGTAGCGTTTTAAAGGAATTTCACAGAAAATTCTATTTTTAGTAACCATGGCAACATCCTTCATTGAAATCAAAAACTAATGCACTATTTTATGTATCTGAGTGTAGTCTTCTTGTGTGCCAAGTGATATTGAAATGAGACTAAAACTGTAGAAGGAGTAGCATTTTAAAGGAATTTCACAGAAAATTCTATTTTTAGTAACCATGGCAACATCGTTCATCGAAATCAAAAACCGATGCACTATTCTATGTATCTTAGTGTAGTCTACTTGTGTGCCAAGTAATACTGAAATCAGACCAAAACTGTAAAAGGAGAAGCGTTTTAAAGGAATTTGTCAGAAAATGCTATTTTTAGTAACCATGGCAACATCGTTCATCGAAATCAAAAACCGATGCACTATTTTATGTATCTTAGTGTAGTCTACTTGTGTGCCAAGTGATATTGAAATGAGACTAAAACTGTAGAAGGAGTAGCGTTTTAAAGGAATTTCACAGAAAATTCTATTTTTAGTAACCATGGCAACACCGTTCATCGAAATCAAAAACCGATGCACTATTTTATGTATCTTAGTGTAGTCTACTTGTGTGCCAAGTTATACTGAAATCAGACCAAAACTGTAGAAGGAGTAGCGTTTTAAAGAAATTTCTCAGAAAATTCTATTTTTAGTAACCATGGCATCACCGTTCATCGAAATCAAAAACCGATGCACTATTTTATGTATCTTAGTGTAGTCTACTTGTGTGCCAAGTTATATTGAAATCAGACCAAAACTGTAGAAGGAGTAGTGTTTTAAAGGAATTTCTCAGAAAATTCTATTTTTAGTAACCATGGCAACATCGTTCATCGAAATCAAAAACCGATGCACTATTTTGTGTATCTTAGTGTAGTCTACTTGTGTGCCAAGTTATATTGAAATCAGACCAAAATTGTAGGAGGAGTAGCGTTTTGAAAAATTGTTTACAGACAGACGGACAGACAGACGGACGGACGCCGGACGCATTACTTTCGCATAAGCTCTTCTGGTCTCTGACAAGTAGAGCTAAAAATGATCCTTGCCACTCATCAAAATAAAAACCAATGCACAGAATTATGTATCTTAGTATAGTCTACTTGTGTGCCAAGTTATACTGAAATCAGACCAAAACTGCAGGAGGAGTAGCATTTTGAAAGAATTTCACAGAAATTTCTATTTTTAGTAACCATGGCAACATTGTTCATTGAAATCAAAAACCGATGCACAGAATTATGTATCTTAGTGTAGTCTACTTGTATGCCAAGTTATATCAAAATCAGCCCAAAACTGTAGGAGGAGTAGCATTTTGAAAGAATTTCACAGAAATTTCTATTTTTAGTAACCACGGCAACACCGTTGATCGAAATCAAAAACCGATGCACAGAATTATGTATCTTAGTGTAGTCTACTTGTGTGCCAAGTTATACTGAAATCGGACCAAATCTGTAGGAGGAGTAGCATTTTGAAAGAATTTCAAAGAAATTTCTATTTTTAGTAACCAAGGCAACACCGTTCACTGAAATCAAAAACCGATGCACAGAATTATGTATCTTAGTGTAGTCTACTTGTGTGCCAAGTTATTATGAAATTGGACCAAAACTGTAGGAGGAGTAGCATTTTGAAAGAATTTTACAGAAATTTCTATTTTTAGTAACCACGGCAACACCGTTGATCGAAATCAAAAATTATGTATCTTAGTGTAGTCTACATGTGTGCCAAGTAATATTGAAATCGGACCAAATCTGTAGGAGGAGTAGCATTTTGAAAGAATTTCAAAGAATTTTCTATTTTTAGTAACCACGGCAACACCGTTCATTGAAATCAAAAACCGATGCACAGAATTATGTATTTTAGTGTAGTCTACTTGTGTGCCAAGTAATATTGAAATTGGACCAAAACTGTAGGAGGAGTAGCATTTTGAAAGAATTTCAAAGAAATTTCTATTTTTAGTAACCACGGCAACACCGTTCATCGAAATCAAAAACCGATGCATAGAATTATGTATCTTAGTGTAGTCTACTTTTGTGCCAAGTTATATTGAAATCAGACCAAAACTGTAGGAGGAGTAGCATTTTGAAAGAATTTCACAGAAATTTCTATTTTTAGTAACCACGGCAACACCGTTCATCGAAATCAAAAACCGATGCACAAAATTATGTATCTTAGTGTAGTCTACTTGTGTGCCAAGTTATATTGAAATCGGACCAAAACTGTAGGAGGAGTAGATTTTGAAAAATTGTTTACAGACAGACAGACAGACGGACGGATGACGGACGCATTACTATCGCATAAGCTCTTCTGGTCTCTGACCAGTAGAGCTAAAAAAACTACTTTCATTTGGATTACATGTACAACACCCACTCATACATTGTAAATAATTGATTTAATACAATCATTTCCAATGCTTTTCCTTGCACAAGAGAGATCAGATCAATATATCTTGACATTTACAAAACACAGAAAAAAACAGTTATTGGTATTATATGACATCAATTATAAATGGATTAATTGACAATCACTTGAAAATGACAACTCATATACTGCAGAACAATAAATTTTGGTGACTTCTTATTTTTGTGAGATTGTTGTTTGGAATTTATATTTATATAAGCAAAACAATTTTTTTTTTTTACAGATTTGAGTATAAGGCCATCTTTAAATTACTGCATGTTTGCTCTCCCCCGACTCAGGGTAAAAATAATGGATCGGTTGTAAGATGGGAAAACCTTTTTTCCAGAAAATTTGAACATATTTGTTGATGGAATAATGGGGAAAAAAAATATCAAAAAGTTTTGAGTTATGCCATTTTTAGTTAGTCAGTTGGAAGAGGATAAAACAAACATTTTTTTTTTAAAGTTGGCCTTCCCATCAAAAATCTTTGATATTGAAAAATAAATGTAAGAATGGATTTTTGCAAGTAAATGGTTACATGAAAATAAAGTTGTCATGAACAAAAAGTGTTTCTCAGTATAAAGAAACTCCACAGAGACTGTAGCTCTACTCAACAGGAAATACATGTGTCAGTGATTTACAATGTATAAACAACTGATAAAGGAAAAGAAATGGGTAAAAGTTTTTCAACAGTTAGTAAACGTATATTTTTTCCATAAAAAAATAAGTAATGGGTCAGAAAACTTGAATACAACATTTGTTATTTAATAATAAAGAAGGATGAATTAATTGATACCATTCAATTAAGGTCCAACAAAAAGATTTAAAACGTATGGAGATGCCCCTAATCTAACTAATTATAAAGACTGGATTTGATAAATATGGAAAAAAGAAGAATTTAGTGGAGATGTGTAACACTGCATGCACATACACAATCTGGGTCAGGAAAGACAGTGTAACATGTATCGCACCACAATACAGAGAGTATTCCACAAATACATGTATATACCTTGGTATTGAAATGGTGGTGGATTTACAGGATAAGGCAAATTCCCTGCTGCAGGATTTACAAAGACAATATGAATCAGATTAATATTTTGCAAAATTATCAACTCTGAAATTTGTCTGCTTAATTATCATACAAGAATATAAATCACCAACATTTTTCATTCCTATTACAAGAGGCCCATAGGCCACATTACTCACCTGAGCGCAGTGGCTAGGAAAAAGCAGAAATCAGTTTAGCATTGAAAACATTGACTTCATCAGCTCTCAGGTGAGGTATAAATGGGGTTTACAGTTTTTCTAATAGAGTTCATGCGTTTTTCTGTTGGATCAAAGTTTAATAAAGTGCTGCGCCACAGCATGATACGCCCGTCAAAAAATTACAATTTTCTTGAACAACTTAGAGTGCAAGAAAATCAGGTCAACCTTGATTCTAAGATTTCCATGATTTTTCCATTTCTTAAAATATTTATCCATCCCCTGTGATGTAGGCAATAATTATAATAAATATTACATCATTGATAGATTTCTATGCTGCATGGTTGTGTTTGCTAGACCTTGTCAAATGCCCATCATATTAAACAATATCAAATTAGTCTTAACACATTTATCTATACCAAATTAATTTTGAAAAGAAAAGGCTAACCATCAAAGGACATATGCTATAAACTGACCAGCAGTTCTTCTGTCTAATCCCCAAAGGATAAAGATAAGACGATGCTCTAAAGAAGTGCCTTCCTACATTGAACTCATTAATTAATCTTTAACTGGATGCTTGTCTACTCATTACTACCAAGAGATGAATGGGTCTGCACTATCTACCATAAATTTTTTTTAAAACATATAAAATACTGTCTCAAAGTTGTTTTTTTTTTTGGTTGAGATTTAATGTCCAACAGGTTTTAATGTGTAATTCATATGGACATGCTGATTCCACTCACCCCATAAAATTAGTTTTTAAATTAATATTATAATATAATATCAGATTAGTCTATTACGCAATATCAAATTAGTTAGTTTAAATTACTTTTTATAAAATTGATTTTAAAACTTAGGCTAGCCAACAAGAGCTATTTTTAATCCAACAGGCTAACCCATTTGCCCAATACCCAAGGGATATAGATAACACCAATGGTCTACCAGTTAGCTCCTCACACTAAACTCATTAATTTCTCTCTAATTTGACATGCAATTTTCTGTTCTTCTTGACCAGTGCTTGATAATTACACTCATGGGAGAGGTAGGATTTCTCTAACATACATTATATTTTTTATAGATTGCTGTCAAGTATTTGCTTAAAAAGAACAAGTATTTACTTGATTTAGCACTTTTTAATAAGGACAGTGCAATACTCTTACATTATTTGGGATGTGTAAATGAATGGTAAAAAAACACATTTTAAAAAAAAATTTCACCTAAATTAAAGGTCACAGTGACCTTGAAATAGGTCGCGACACACCTTCTACCTAAGATGCATAAACTGGCCAAATTTCATGATTGTAAGTCTTATAGTTTTCTAGTTATGGGTCGGAAAGGATTTTTCCATATTTGGCTATAACTTCTTAATTAAAGGTTAGAGCGACCCACTTTTTGTGCGCGACACACCTTCCACCCAAGATGCATCATATGACAAAGTTTGATATTCCTAGGCCTAATAGTATTAAAGTTATGAGCCGGAAACGAAAAGCTAACAGACAGACGGACAGACGGACGGACGCGAAGCCTATAACATAATACGTCCCGTCTTAAGACGGGCGTATAAAAACTACCATTCTGCATCCAAATGTTTTTTTTTCTCTCATTGTACAAGTTGTTATCCAATCCATATATTTCCTACTAGTCTGTGCATTAATACGATCAATTTACAAATTAAAAACAATCTTTTTACCATAACTCCTTAACTTCCAGTATATAAAGAAGCAATTGTTATGCGGACATGAGAAATACTTACTTGGATTTGGGTCGTAGGGTAGGTTTCCCTGACCAGCTGTGGCAGAGTCATAGGGAGGGGGAGCACCAGAGGGGGGTGGGCCGTTTTCCTGTCCAGGGTAAGGCGGTTTGGTCATTGGGTAACTTGACATTGGACCTAAAAGATAAAAATAAATTGAAAGTAAAGATAGCAAAACATTTAATATCTACAAGCAAGTTTCATGTTGGTTTTCTTTTGGCATCATTTCATGTAGCTTTCCTATTTACATTTATGTTCAAATAATCCATTCTTTGAAAAATATCCTAATACATGCTCATGTTTTAATGCAAGTTGTGTAAAAAAAAAAAAACATAAATATTCATACTTTTTCATACAATTTGATGTTTACCATTAAAATAAGTTTTATTTTAAATTTTGGGAATTTCAAATACTGCAATACAACTTTTACAAATATAAAACCTTTTGATTTCTTATAGAATAAATGTCAAAATATCCTCATTGTTTTTACACTGTATATATTTATGAAGTTATATGCATGCTTCCTTTGAAACCAACAGATCCTTGTATGCATAAAATTTAATTATTTGGTTTAGCTGAGTTGATTGACTTTTACAGACAGAAAAATGCCCATCTTCATCTTTTCATCATGCAAGAACCATGATACAGATCCATTCCACATCATTACATGTATATCTGACATAAAAATATCTTCACCTTCCAATGCCATAATACAATGCTTTAATAATTATATTCTCCCTTACTTTGAATTAATTATAAGAAACAATGTAAATTTTATATAGCATACTGCATGCTCTTTCAAACGTTATTTTTACTTGAAATTCAACATTTATATACCGGGTTGTCTCTAAGGCCTGAAGTGAGGGAATTACCCTGGCTATAATAACATTATCCCCCTTCTTCCTCAACCCAATGTTAGGAAAAGAACGTCAGAACCCCCTCCCCCTCCTTCTTTATAAATTTCCCCTTCTACTTCAATTCTTATTGACAACCCTGTATATGTATTATGTAAAATGAAAACATAGCGTACCATTAAAGTTATATAACCTTACCACAATTTACAGTTTACCCCAAACACTGCCCTTTTGAGTGAAAATAACACACAAATTGCTATAAATACCACCCAATAAATGACTACCCTGAAAACAACCCAAACACTCTCCAAAAATACTATTAACTACTTGTATATATACTTACCATTGTCATGATTATAAGGGGATCTGAGTGGGACACTCTGATCTTGATAATCTGAAACAATTAGTACACTTGCATGCAGTCATCTACAACAAAAACTGGACATCTTTAACAATGACACTCTGTTAATATTAAGGTTCATTTTCTCAAGCTCTGTTAACTCGTTTAAAATTTTCTTTTTTCTTTCAAAAAAAAAAAAATCAAAAGCCTGAAAGGCTTCAATGGCGTCGAACAAGAAAAACAATTTCAAAAGATCTGCAGATAGGTCAAGTGAATGACTCCGGTAACATAATAATAAAATTTTTAAAAAATAGTCTTAACACAAATACAGTATATGGCCTGATAGCCTTGTGTCCTGTTCCGAATGAGTCAGGGTTCGAATTGACCAGACATCGTCAGAAATGTCCATCCTCTATATCAATCTAATTTCTTTTCAGTCAATCGATGACATATGAAGGGTTTCATAAATTATTTTAATTAATTTACATTGTCAGAGCGTTGTTCTGTTGTATAGTGACTGTATCTTTAACTACAACCATGACTCTAATAGTAATGTTACAAGTAGTGAAGTACGATCGACTTACGATAGGGCGCGGTAAACAAATGGAGGAAATGGATAAATACAGTAATACTGGCATTACTGGTCAATATCGTCGGTTGTTCGGATAAAATTGGATTGAAGATCGGAAAAGTAAAGCTAAGATTAAGAAATTCAATCTTTATTGTCTTGTTGAATTCATGTTTATTTTTTTATTATTTTACCGTATTTAAGATTGTTTGTATTAATTAATCGGTCCCAAAATGTGATTCATGTCATTCGATGCACCCTCTCTGTAGAAATTCATCCGCAACAACCATAACGTTTTTCTTGCGTAAAAATTAAACATAATATCGTTGTTTTGTTGTAGTATTAATTGAAGAAACAATTGATTTAATTTTATATTCAAGCTATTATTCATTGTGAACGTTTTAAAAGAAATTGGTTTACAGCTGTTGCTATTTTCTATTGCGGATGCATCCACTGACACGTGCGGTCGCGTAAACCTGACTGATGGCTAGATGACGATCGGGCAAGCCCGACGCCATAAAAAAGAAGAAATCAAATCGATTTGATTATTTTTTAAAAATGTACACAAATTCAGCAAACCAAAAAAGGCAGAATTTGACAAAAAAACAAGACTTTTGAACTTGAGAACTTTAAAATAGAAGGATGTGTTTATCATGCTGTTTATTTTGGTAAGTTATTCCTCTTCTCAGAGTGCCAATGAACCTTAATATTCTAAAGCATGTATGTCAATATCAAGCAGGTGCAATGCAACACAAGGGGCAGATTGTGTGAATGGCAGATTATATTTTAGTCAGTGAAGTCCCTCCAAGCCCCTGACACCTAAATGATTCAGCTGGAAATTTTTTTAACCCAAAAATGAGTTCATTTCTGTTTAACCTCAAACAGGTCCTATATTTAGGATCGCACAATTATCATCCTATTGTTCCATTCATGACTTATTTGCCGTTGTGTTTATGATGGTGTTGTCAATAACTGAATTGAAGAGCAGTGTGTAAGCTTATAATCACCCAAGGATGAATAAAACCACCACAAATGAATACATTAAACATGCATTGGTTACATGTAAATATTTCCATTTATTTACCTGCTGGTTGGTAATTGGTTTTTGGAGGGCTGCGAACAACTGAACCTTGACTGTGCTTGCGTCTCTTGATACAACAATAACAACCAATGAAAATAATCCCCGCTACCACAATTATTCCAATTACGACCCCAGCCACTCTTCCTCCACTGTAAACAAATAAAATATATTAATTCAAATGACATAAGCTAAAATATTTGTTGAAAATACAAGGCCTTTGTGCATGTCACTGCAGGGTAAAAACAGGATATAAATGTTTTCCTTAAACTACAAAGATCAGTTGGATAATACAATATTCCTGTTAGTTATAATAATAAATTAACAATTAAATATGGACCTATGTGCAATCATCACTTTCTAAAAACCAGGAGAGAAAAAATATTTCTTTTAAAACAAAAATTTACAACAACAAACATTGGCTGGTTAATACAATACTCCTGCTATTATAATAGTTTTAATATTTCCAGAAATCAAGAACATCATTGAGTCAGGGACAGATTTCAAACAGTGGTAACACTTCAACTATAGACTTGAATTATAACAATTCAGTCTATTAATCTCTTTCACTTACTCATCCCAGAATGTACAGCAGTACTGTTGCCCCACGTCACCACAGCAGTAGGTGTGGTCATCCCCCATACTGTCATCTGTGGGGCAAAGGAAACGCCCCACATACGACACATTGCCCCATGCATTTTTATCATATCTGTCATTGTAGCAGACTTCTGGCACTGAAAAGGAAAATGTCCATGATAAGGATCAATTAATTAAGATTTAAAATCTGAAACTTATATTTCCTGATTTTCCTCCAGTGTTAAGTATTTTTAAAAAAATAAAATTCACTTTTGCATTCATGATTAATTATGTCAATCAGTTGTACATAAGCTTATTATTTAATCTTAAATTGTATTCACTGCATTTAAGTTTTAATTGGTTTTAGTACCAGTGTTTATTTCCTTCATTACCATTCATAATGCAAAAAGACATTAATTTTTCCAAATTTCCCAACTGCTAGGGAACAGCCTATGATGACAATGTATTTCTTTTTAATAAGAAATGTATGAGTTTACAAAATGTTTAACATCCTCTTAAATCAAAATAGAGTTCAGTATAATAGCCAATGTGGCAGGACACATGTTATTGACAGCGTAATCATGCTAAGTGCCTTAGATTTTGACAAATTGAAAGCATGATGATGAGAGAGGAAGGGGCATTAATAATATGTAAAGCAATTACTACTTGTTTGTTATTCCTTACAGCATGAATTGATAGATAAAAAGGTATTAAATAAATGCAAAATAAATTAATTTATGTATAAAACAAATGCTTGCAAAACTCAATAGCACTGCTGGCTGATACTGGATGAATTACTTACAACTCCCCTTAGACCTATAGCTAGCCCTTCTCTTCCATCTTGTGGCACCGTAAACTGAACCTAACAATATGGCTGTCCTCAAACTGCTTTTTGAAGATAACCTGTTGCCTGATAACCTGTTTCCTGAAAACTTGGAGATCAGTCAAGGCTATCACTGAAAAATCATCAGAAAACAAAAAACTTTATTTTACTTGTCTTCAAAGAAAATAATTAGAGGATATCATGCAGCTTTTCTAGTTATACCTAACATATCTAACAAAATATTTCAACAAGTAAAATTGATGCAAAGCATCAAATTGGCTGCTAACAAATCTAGCATTTCAAACAAGAGGCCCAGGGGCCACAGAGCTCACCTGAGCACATTGGGCTTGAATTTAACCCCCCCCCCAGGCGTTCATCATTTGAACAAACTAAAATCTACACTACCTGAGGATTATTCCATATAAATAACACTAATCATAGTTTTGAAGTACTTGAAAAGATTTTAAAAGGTTTCCCTATATATCCTTATGTAAAACTTGGGTGGGCCAAAGCCCCAGGGGTCATGTTTTGAACAAACTTGAATCTACACTACCTGAGGATGATTCCACATAAGTTTCATCTTTCCTGGCCCAGTGGTTCTGGAGAAGAAGATTTTTCAAGATTTTTTCCTATGTAAAACTTGGGTCGGCCATTTTGGCCCCACCCTTGCCCCGGGGTTATCATTTGAACAAATTTGAATCTACACTACCTGAGGATGATTCCACTTGAGTTTCATCTTTCCTGGCCCAGTGGTTCTGGAGAAGAAGATTTTTAAAGATTTTTCCTATATATTCCTATGTAAAACTTGGGTCGGCCATTTTGGCCCCACCCTTGCCCCGGGGGTCATGATTTGAACAAACTTGAATCTACACTACCTGAGGATAACTGCACTTGAGTTTCATCTTTCCTGTTCCAGTGGTTCTGGAGAAGAAGATGTTTAAAGATTTTTCCTATATATTCCTATGTAAAACTTGATGCAAAGCATCAAATTGGCTGCCCCGGGGGTTATGAACAAATCTAGCAAACTTCAAAAAAGTACTTTCACCTTTCCTGGCCCAATTTTAAAAAGATTTTTTAAAAATGCCATTAATTTTTCTCTAAGCATCTTGATTCCCCTTCACCCAAGGATACTTTGTGCCAAGTTTGCAAGAAGATGAAAATGTGAAAAGTTTACGATTTTTATTTCAGCTCAGGTGAGCTAAAAAGTACTTTCACAATTTTAAAACTAAAAGCATCTATGCATGCAAGATCATTTTTATTTCAGACCCTCTTCAAAGCAAAATAAATAAATTAAATAGAAATTTTAGTGCATTTGCTCATACAATGGATTTATCAATGTAAAATAATCTATTCAATGAATAATATGTGATAAATTATTGTCATCAAAATGAAGATGTAGGACTCTCAAGATGAACCACGTGCTGATACCCTGGATTTTTGTCACGTGATAATGCCTGTATGTTTTCTGCAGAGTAGGCTATGCTGCATGGCGTGATGCAAAAAGTAGAAAAATAATCTTTGTGTCACTCTCAGCTGTAGCATATTCAAACAATTTTTTACTAGTTCAACAACTTTTCCATTTTTTATTCACCGTCCATGCACTTTTAACATATTATGTCATTATTATCCGGAAAATCATGACGATTTCCTAAAGTATCTTACACATTCCCAGGATGGGGCCAAAATAAAATTATAGTTTGTTTGGAATTGCCGCCCGCCTCATTGAAATACCCCCCGCTCAAAAAATTTTATTGGCAAAATATTGACAATATTTTTTTTTTTTACCGTTTCGTTTGTCGAAATAGCATTTTAAAGTCGGGTTTGAGCTCCAGCGTTTTTTTTTCCCCTAATATAACTGGTACCGATAAACTGCACCAAAACGTTAATTTTTCCCAATTTTGTGACCAAAATTCCCAGTTCAACTGTGAAGCAGCAGACTATGACGACATCATATTTCTTTCTACACGAAACAATGTACAAATTGACTAATTGTTTCACTTCCGCTTTAATCGAAAGTAGAGAACGTCGTAATTTAGCGGGACCTGTGGTGTAAAAAGCGTAGTATCATACGTTTTGACAAATTGAAAGCATGAAAATATGGAAAACATGGGACATTGATTTAAAAAAAAGTTCTTGTTGCTTATTCTCCAAAACACGTAGTAATAGGTAATTTAGTTAGAATAAGCACAAAATACGTTTTATTTGATTAAATGAGAGAAAATTTTCATTGTTCTTCTTTGATGTTATTTTTCCCAATTGAACCGGTACCGGACCCTTTCCCAATAGGTAGGAAAAAAATCGCTGCTCCCATTAATTTAACAAAACCAGTCAATAAAACGCTTTCTTCATAGTAATTAGTATTGATGATATAGCGATTATAGGTGGTGATTTGACAAAATGAAAGCCGTCAAAATGTCAGACCAGGTTGGGTCAGTGGATGTGAAAACATTCAAGCGTTGATGAGCAGAACATTTATGCATCTCCATAAAAATAAAAGGTGAATAAATAATTAAATGGAATAATACACCAAAACACACCAATACAGGAAAAAAGCTATTGATCCTCTTAGATCCCAGTTTAAAAAAAATACATGAATCAGATATCTGTTATCCCAAATACCAAAGGAAAAATATTGTCTGTCAGTATGACAAGTCTGTTAAAACTGATTCATGGTAAACGCTCTAGAACATACAATGTACCAAACACTCGTTCCTGCTTTTCCACAAAACACTCCAACTATTTTTAAGAACTTTTGTGTGATTTGCACTGTTTGTAAGGGATGTCTTAACAAAGGGCTAAATTTTAAGAGAAATGTTATGATTTAGACTAATAAAATTATTTTGATATATTTTTTTTAAATAAACTAGAATGTTTGATGCTGAAATTTGACTGTTATTAAATGAGCAGATCTAACATCTAAATAAGATTGGTATTTTAGTACTGTTCTGTATATATATATTTATATTTTTCAAAATAAAAACAAAAATAATAATAAATTAAAGGAGGAAAATTGATAAAAATCACAAATGTTCATTGAGATTTTCTTTTTTTAGCATTTAGCTTCAATTTAAAAAAAAAAAAGAATATAAAACCCCCAGGCGGCAATTCCAAACAAACATTTTTTTAAGGATGGCCTGGAGAGTACCTACTTATCAATTATCTGATATGAAATGATAAATAACTGAAATTGAAACATAATAACAATGAATTATGATTAAAACTTATTTTAAAGCAAGCTTTAAAAATATTTTACTCATGATTTTATACACGTTATCATTTGATTTGATTTGAGAATTATTTTACTGAACAAATAAAATAACACCTCATTTCCCCATATGTGCACTAGCTTTCTAACACAATCACAAATAGATCGGCCGCTGCTGCGACCATAATAATTAACCCCAAAATTATAATTTTAGTCAGTAATTTAATAAATTATCATGGATATATTCAAATCCTAGATAAAACAACATTTCAATTCATTTGAATATAATACAGAAGAGAATTTATTCAAAGTTTAAGGTTATTACTTATTTTAGAGAAAGTACTTGGGCAGCTGGTGGGCAAGTTATACAACTGAAATGGATTTATTTAAATCTTCATTGGCTAATTACTCTCTCTGATCATGTGTATTACATGGATTAAACTGATCCGGTAACTAGTGACTCTATCGAAAGAAAGCGGTTAGTTCAGGGTGTCCCAAACTGCACAAGAAATACTTACAAAGCAAAATGACAGCAAAACATATTACAATTTTTATCTTCATGATGTCTTCTCCTCGCTTAACTTGTGCAATTAACAAAGCCTTCCTTTCATTCTTTAAATAAATGTATTTCCCACTTTAAATATTGCGAAATCCCTTTCGAGCCTGTATCGAAATACTGAAATATGGGAAAATACGTAATGAATATTTATAATGTAATTTTTTGTTAACTCGTACGTTAACTCGGTTACATTTTAGAGAAAAGAATTGATTTTCCGTTGCATTTAATTGATTTTAAAAAATCAAAAGTAATGAAAACTAACTATAATCTTCACACGTTTATATGAATCACGTCTATGTTATATATAAAGGGTTTGTTTCCATTTTTGAAAGAAAATGAAATAAGATTGTACAACTTGACATCGAATCATATGACGTCATTAAAAAATGTAAACATAAGGGATTAGGCCTGTTAGTGTTATTGGTAAACACATTAAGTAAATGTGTCGTCTCCCTGGTAATGAGTAAACGACTAGTTTATATCAGAAGTATTAGAATTATATCATGTTTATTCTATACATGTAAAACATTTTTGATACCCCTCAAATCAATTTGTATACTGAAATATTTTCACTACTTTCACTTTCAACAGTTGGGGGTAAAATGAAAATAATGAGATAGGCTAATTTTACATCCCTTTTGGAGAATATAATCACAGCCTAATCAATGAATTGTTTTCTTCATGAGCTGACTCTTTAAAAGCATGACTTCACTCAAAATTTCAAAATGTTGAATATAATTGATATATATTTCACTAAATTCACAATGGGTTTTAAATTGAATTTTACCATTAATGGCATTATATTTTATCTTTTTAGAGTTTAGTCTTAGTATCATCCTTACCTGTAAGACATCTAAAAATTACGTAAAGCAAAGACTGGGAATCATCTAAGATGCCACAATCTGGTGATTTCCGAGCAACATTACTAGATATCGATGCTCATCTGGATTCTAGTGACCTGGAACTTCTAAAGTTTCTTTGTAAAGACATTATTCCATTCAGTGTTCTTGATAAATGTAGGAGGAGTCTGGATGTGTTTGCTAATTTAGAACAAAAAGGGAAGCTCAGAGAGGAAGACTCCAAATTTTTACAAGAATGTTTCCACTACATGCAGAGAAAAGATTTAATCAGAAAACTAGGTGGAGATCCACAAAGGCTTGAGAAGAAGATAAAAGCTGATGGACCTAGTCAGCTAACTGAATTTAGGTAAATCTTTCAACTCATTCATATGTAGCCTGTATCACTTGGTTGTTTTTTTTTTCTTATGCTTCAATCTTCAGAATGAACTCTTGTAGTGGAACATATGCTTTTGTAACTGGATAGGAGAAAATGTAATGGTTTGGGCCATGGATCTCAGCATGGATAGCTCAGTTGGTTGAGCACCTGACAAGTTAATCAGAGGTCATGGGTTTGGTTCCCTGTCCAGCCATACATTTCTTCCTTTCTTGTTACACTAGGATCATTGTATCCTGATTCCATATTTTTGTACGTTACATATACTGGTATACTAGCTGTCAAAAATATTAAAACATTCAAAATATGGAGGCCAAAATATGTTTAACGTAAAATACATTTTTTATATAGTTTGGACTTCCATCCCACATTTATTTGTCCATATGCATGAGATATGGTTGTTTGAGATACTTAAGTTCTATTCTACATTAATGACAGTTACTTGTACATAGCCTTGTTTTAACACTACATAAACAGCAATTTAATGGTTGGAGTAAGGTTTCATTAGAAATAATAATGTTAAATATTACATTTTGCCACATAGCCAATTTTTTTAAATAAATGATTTTTTTTTTTTTGTTTGCAGGGTTTTACTTTTTGAAATTTCTGAGGACTGTGGCAATGAGGAATTTGAAGCCATGAAATTTTATTCACGGACAACTTTGCAGATGACCAAGAAAATGCTGAATAAAGTGACAACATGTTTAAGTTTGTTCAACGTCCTGGAAAAAGAAGAGCTGTTGACCCCAATTCAAGTCAAAACAATGGAGCAACTCATTGAAACAACTGGAGATGAAGAATTATTAGATCTTCTCTACAAATACAAAAACAAAAATTTAGGTACATGTACTACATTTATTAAGCAGCATAAAAATAGATAAGGCCTTAGTATTACATGTATAACAATTCAGAGTACAGTGGTACTACATGTATATGACAATTTTTGTACCTTTTGAAGAGGAAATTAAGGGATATGAGACATGTACTGTAGATTCCTTAATATGTGCATTCTTAATATCACAATCGACAGGTAGATGTAAAATTGTGAGAACATAAATTGCTTAGCAGACTGATTATCTCAAGTTTTTAATTCAAATTTCAGCAATTAAAAAAATTAAAGTCTGTTATTTCATTTCATTCATACAGCTTGTTTCCAAATTACACTTAGTATCAAAAATTCTTCACTGATATTTATGAATAGCAGATAGAGGGTAGTAGTCTTCCTTACTACATGTAGGTGGGAAAAAAAACATGTACAGTTTTCTACAATAACAGACAAGCCTATACATTTTCATATGGTTTTGGACATACATGTAGAGACAAAGAGCAGTGTTTTCTCTTTATTTCACAGTAAAAGGTTAGAGATCAGTTGTAACAGGTTTTGAACAAAATCTGGTCGGACCTAACAACAAATGAATTTTTATTTTGAAGTGGCATTTTGTCAACTGAAGCAGTCGATTTGGCTGGTGGCTTTTCTTAGGGAAAACACTGAAAGAGTAAATCGATTAAATTCAAACTAAATAAAATAATGTTTAGATATCAAGAATCTAACTTATTTCTAAAAAGACTTAACACATGTATAAACTTATTTGATTTTTTGCAGTTGCCTGTCCATCTGATGAAGTACCAGGGATGAAGTTGAACTTACACATAAGTAACCACCCAGACTCCACCCCAGTGGTGCCACAAGAACATCAGGAACCACCACAGAACCACACTGCTCAGTCAGGTAACTTATATGCCCTCATGCAGTAAATGCTAAAGTATACATGTTTTGTGATGTACATGAAAGTGCATACTAGTTAGCTTTTGCTACATGTTTATATAACTACAACTGGTAATACATTTACAAGACAGGTTCAATTTAGTCTTGAGCAAAAATGTTGATGAAAATAACTTCTAATTTAGAAAAGCAATTGTATTTCTCCTTTACAGCCTCAATGAAGTTAGATACATACAGCTTCTATTATAGATTTCTAGTTTGAATTCTCTACTCTGATCATATATTTGAAAATTGACTTTTGCATATGTTTAGAGAGAGCTGGTCCACAAATGGCTGCCTATCCATCTCTGTCTTCCATGAACCCTCCAGCACAAGATGCCATGGATACATTGTTGTCAAGGCAAGGGTCAGTTGTCCAGTCGCCCCAGGAAGACCAAGACTCATTGGATAGTTTTAGTTACTACAAAATGACAGCAAAGCCCAGAGGTTAGAATTAGTACACCCATGATAAAAGCATGGCTGCATGACTTTATTTCACAGAGGATCCATTCTTATGTCTTTGGTGTGAATTGATGTAGAGAAAAAAAAATAAATGTGAATCTGCAAATGAAATATAACTCATAAAAATTATTAGCAAGTGTAAAAGGGCGAAAATAACACCAGGCAAGAATAATCCTAAATACAGTATTTAATTGTATTTTACCTTGATTATCATCTGGAATCTTTGGAAATCTTGAATTTTTTTTTTCTCAGATCTACATGTATTGAGTTTAAGATAACAAAGTTTAACTATATATATATATGCAAAAATATAAAAAGAAAACATCCTAAGCAAAGAATACGTAGGACCTAAAGATTGATAAATATAAAAATGCGTTTGTAAGACAATGGGCTACAAAAAAAGAACAAAACATTTGTCTATTGATTAGTATTGGAAATTAGGAGTTAATGGCAGAGTATATGATAACTGCTAAGTGAAGTACAACATTTGTGAATTTATCAGTCTTATTCACTTTTATGTACCTTTATGGTATATCCCCATGTAAACGTGAAATAATTCTGGATCGTTAGATTTTGAGAAAGGTCAAAAACTTGTAGATGTTTCTAGAGACATTTGAAAATTATAGGAGTTACCTCCCTTAATTGTGTTAATGCACCAACAACAAAAATCATTAAACTTAAAAAAAAGAATTAAATGGACTGTAGACGTCTTTTGTCTCACATGTCTAAAATTTCATGGTTTGTTAGAAAGTTACTTTTCACGGTGGTTTTAATTTCACAGTGAATCGATTATAAATACTCAGGTGCTATAATGCCTGTTTTAAGGTAAAAATAAAGTGAAATAGTAATCACGATGGTTTAAAGTTTGCAGAAAATTTAAAAATCGTGAACATAGTGAAATTAAAAACACCGTAATGTATTCCACTTCTACAGTATTTATATATATCAGGCAAAAGAATTACTGTAACTTTATTGGATGTTGCATTGAATCTAATGTTCTTTTCTTTAACAGGTTACTGTATCATTATCAATAATAAAATCTTCCGTGGACAGACAGATCTGAGAGAGAGAGCAGGAACAGATATAGATGAAGGCAAGCTGTTTTATATCAATTATTTTTAAAGTAAAATAATGGCATATTGAAGATTACTTTAGGTAATACAAATGTACTGTACAGTACAGAAATTTTATCTCCAGTTTTCAATTCGCCCTTTTCACAAGTGGGCGAATTGAAAACAGGGCAAATTCAAAGAATACAGTATAAATTCTAAAACAGAACTGTGACTGGGGGAATTTGAAACTGGGCAAAATTGTTGGCAAGTGTAAAAGGACGAAAATAGCATGGGGTAAAAATAACCCTGTATAAAGTACATCTTTTTACAATGATATATATCTATTTACATTTCCGTTTTCTCTAGCTGTGACATTTCTTTGAAAATTCAGTTTGTTGATTCCTCAATATTTACAAATTTTGCCAGTGAAAGGTTAAGTGCCTAAGTTTGCATGACAATCTCTTGCAACTGTCTTTAATATAATGTCTGATGTACTTGGATGGGGACTATGCATTTTTAACATGAAATGCTTCTTGTATTTCAGTTCTATTAGAAAACATTTCATTTACATCCACATGTTAATTGTAATAAATATAATCACTGTCTAGTTTGTTTGGTATGCCAGGGTGTTAAAGACAGACGCATATGGGATAAATCTCACAAAAGTTTTGTAAATCAAAAGCTTTTACAATGCATGGAACTATAGCTTTGGTTTTTCTGTCCAGACTTTCTCAGAGAGCTACAGTTCTGCAGAAACAGTAGTAGATAATTTTATTTAAAAATTGTATTGTTGAACAGAGAAACTCGAAGAAACTTTTGGAAACTTCTTGGAATTTGACGTTCAGATATTCAGAGATTGCACTTGTGAAGAAATCAGGAAAGTCTGCCAGGATTATTCAAGAAAAGATCACAGCCAATTTGACAGCCTAGTTGTGTGCATTCTGTCCCATGGAACAACAGGAGCTGTGTATGGTTCAGACAGCCAGAGCATTCCTATCCGAGATATAACCTCCTATTTTACTGCCTCACAGTGCCCCACTCTGGCTGATAAACCAAAACTTTTCTTTTTTCAAGCATGCCAAGGGCTTGTTCATCAGTCAGGTAAGAATAATGGGAGATTAACATTATTTTGTGGTCATATGGTAGGGATCTACAGTTGAACTTTGGTATCTTATACATCTTGAATACTGGGATTTGTCAAAGTAGGATTTCAGTCCCAACGTTTTTTTTTTTTCAGAGACAGCTAGAATATCCTATTTACACATATTCAGTTCATGCAATTTTAAAACAGAGTCTTATCCCTTTTCTCTTCCATTAACTCAAGCACAAGGGAAAATTAGTTTTGCTTTTTAAACATTATTATTTCATATTTTCTGGTATCATATTTGTTATTACTCGTATTGAATTTGAAACATAATGCAATTTTTATGCACTTTTACAGGTCTGCATAACACAAGAACCACTAGAATTGTTAGTCCAGGTATACAGACAGACACACAGTATGAACACCCGAGACCTGAGGAACCCCCTGAGGGGGCCAGCCCTGCCCCTCCCCGCAGCGTGATCCCTGATGAGTCTGACTTCCTGTTGGGGTATGCCACGGTCCCAGGTTATGTGTCCTATAGAAGTAGGTCAGCTGGATCCTTCTATATCAACACACTCGTGGAGAAATTGAAGAAATATGCTCTTGGTCAAAGGTAGAAACTATAAATTGCTTTTATTAAGTATTCTTCTATTTAAGTTTATTTAAACTTGTTAAAACTCAAAATGCTGGAAGATTGCAGACTTATGAATATACATGTGACAAAATTATTTATTTAAACCTTGTTATTTTGATGCAGTGGAAAGTATGGCACAATTTCTAATGAATGATGCAAAAAAAAATTATATAAGATATCTGACAGTAATTTATGAATTAGTTTTTACAAATGATTAATTTGATGCTTCATTCACATCACAAGTGCTAATTAAGTTTTATCGATTCAAAGATACATTTCTTTGAGCCTAAGAAAATTTCTTGTTTGCATTGACATACTTGTAACTACTGTTCTTGATGGAAATTGGCTTGGTCATTGAGAGAAAAAACATGGCTGCTTTGAAAAACATTGGCTTCAAGCAGAAAACGATCACACAATTTGAACTTATCTTTATTGTTTCTGAAAAAAATGTATATATTGTTTTTATTTTCAGGAGCTCTGATCTGATGTCCATTCTGACAGAAGTTAATAATGCCGTGAGCGATCTCCATTATAGTGATGAACAAGGAGCACTGTATAAGCAGGTCCCAGCACCCCAGTTTACCCTGCGCAGGAGAGTCCACTTTGATAAATGCTAGCTATGAGAGCAGACTAGCAGTTTTTATATAACAATGTATATGTTATTTACCTGTTCATGTGATGTGAAACCTCAATATAAAATGGAAGAACTACATTATTTATGTAGAGGTAATTTGTGAGAAACACAAAATGATTTATAATGGAAGACTGCAAGGAAAACTGTGTTTTAAAATTATGTATCAGTATATATTTTTTAAGTGTATATTGTTATTGATGAAGTTTATTTTTATGGCAAATGAAAAAATGTTATGTAGTTGAATGATTTTAAAAAATGCTCAAGAATAATAAAATAAGACAACTTAAATGGGATGCTTTTTTTCTACATAAGAATATTATGCAACTTGGAAAACAAGTAAAGTTTTATTACACTGGAAGATGCTTACATGTATAACAAAGTTCCAGGGACAGAAAAGTTTGCTTTGTTATAAACGTAATTCTTTATATTCATTAAGTCCATGAATATATATTTTTAGCTCACCTGAGCCGAAGGCTCAAGAGAGCTTTTCTGATCACATTTTGTTCGTCGTCTGTCCATCCATCCGTCTGTCTGTCCGTTCGTCTGTAAACTTTTCACATTTTTGACTTCTTCTCAAGAACCACTGAGCCAATTTTGACCAAACTTGGTACAAAGCACTCACAAGGGGAGATAATTAAGAAAAGGCAAAAATAGGGTGGGGTCATTAAAAAAAATTCTTCTCAAGAACCACTGGGCCAGAAAAGCTGAAACTTATATGGAAGCATCCTGGGGTAGTGTAGATTCTAAACTGTAAAAATCATGACCCCCGGGGATAGGGCGGGGCCACAATGGGGAATCAAAGTTTTACATAGAAATATATAGGAAAAATCTTTAAAAATCCTCTTCTCAAGAACCACTGGGCCAGAAAAGCTGAAAGTTATGTGGAAGCATCCTGGGGTAGTGTAGATTCTAAATTGTTCAAATCATGACCCCCTGGGGTAGGGCAGGGCCACAATGGGGAATCAAAGTTTTACATAGAAATATATAGGAAAAATCTTTAAAATCCTCTTCTCAAGAACCACTGAGCTCGAGAAGTTGAAACTTATGTGGAAGCATCCTTGGGTAGTGTAGATTCTAAATTGTTCAAATCATGACCCCCGGGGTAGGGCAGGGCCACAATGGGGAATCAAAGTTTTACATAGAAATGTATAGGAAAAATCGTTAAAAATCTTCTTCTCAAGAACCACTGGGCCAGAAAAGCTAAAACTTATGTGGAAGCATCATGGGGGTTAGTGTAGATTCTAAATTGTTCAAATCATGACCCCCGGGGGTAGGGCAGGGCCACAATGGGGAATCAAATTTTACATAGAAATATCACAGGCCTTCAGATCGCTTTGATCTTACCGACATGTATAAAAAAAACTTTTTTATACATGTCGGTAAGATCAAAGTGATCTGAAGACCTGTGAGAAATATTTAGGAAAAATCTTTAAAAATCTTCTTCTCAAGAACCACTGGACCAGAAAAGCTGAAACTTATGTAGAAGCATTCTGGGGTAGTGTAGATTCTAAATTGTTCAAATCATGACCCCCAGGGTTATGGCGGGGCCTTAATGGGGTAATCGAAGTTTTACATAGAAATATGTAAGAAAAATCATAAAAAAATCTTCTCAAGAACCACTGGGCCAGATTAGCTGAAACTTATATGGAGGCATCCTGGGTTAGTGTAGGTTTTAGATTATTCGAATCATGATCCCGGGTTCGGGGGGGGAGGGGGGGGGCACAAAGTTTTTCATAGAAATATATACTGTAGGATTATATAAGGCAATAACCACAATTTGTGAAAATTGTGTCTCGCTAATCAAAAGTCAATGACTATCTCGTGAAAATAAGGTGTCGCGAAAATTTAGTGATCTACAGTAGAAAAAATCTTTAAAAAATCTTCTCCTCAAGACCCACTGGGCCAGAAAAGCTGAATCTTATGTGGAAGCTTCCTGGGATAGTGTAGATTTCAAATTGTTCAAATCATGACCCCTGGGGGTAGGGTGGGGTCACAGTATGTATTACAAGGGGGAAATCTAGGAAAGAACAGCATGGGCAAGGCTACTCAGGTGAGCGATGTTGCCCATGGGCCTCCTGTTAAGGTATAAGGTCTAGAGACCATAAACTGAAATTTTGATATTGAATACCTTGTCATTTATAATTACATACATTATAAAAAATGTGCAGATTTTAATAATATGGTAAAAACTTTGTATTGTTATCAAAATTAAAAATAAAGTTATATTGATTTGAAATTAGGACTTAATTAACCCTGTTCTCAGTTTATGGTTTTGAGGCTAGGAATAAAAATCACTTTGCTCTCTGCATCCATTTTTGATAAGCATGTCCACCATAATCATGTTTTACATGATTTTTTAAGGAGAGGATGTTCTAAGTTTTAAAAGAACTTGTGTCCAATCCTTTTGTTGTAACATCTAAACAATAAAACATGTTCAAATCAATCATTTTTTACTGTACAATTAAGGTTTCTTATGAGAGAGATAACTCTCAATGTGATGCAATTATTCCTTTAATAAAATGTTAAATTAAAATATTTTTCTGTAGAATTTTGCCCTACAATGTACAAGTATGCTGAAAATTTTAGAATTTAAAAATTCTATTTCTTTAATAAAATTGATATTTAGGGGGGGGGGGGGGCATTTATATAAACTGTACACAGATGGATGATTTAACTTTTAAAAACAGCTTTATCTTTGGGTTTTGATTGAAAACTACAGCATCTATGATTTACTTCTTTTTTTCAGAGATAAAACAACTTGTTTTTGTTTTTCTAAATTTACATAATTACAGTGTACTGTAATCTTGATATTTAATGAAGTGCATAATTACTAAAAACTTAATATTTTACGATGCTAGAAATTTCATTTAGACCCTCCTCCCCCCCCCCCCCCCCCAAAAAAAAAGTATGTTTGTGTCCTAAAGTTACATGGTCTGTTTATTTTCACATTTTTCATTTTTAAATGTGTTGACACATGTGCTAGAATGATATTATATGTATACATAGACTTCATAAACATTTATGTGTTTCTCAAATGTACAAAACTGTGTCGCATAAAAACCCCACTGTTTTGTTTTCATGGCTTTAAAACTGTTAAAGACACAAAACTGCATTTATTTTACCATTGAGTTATGAATTTTCTAAAATTTGAAATTGTTAATATTTTGACTGAAAAAGAATAAAATACATATTAAGTACTCTCCCTCTCTCTCTCAAAATGTAAGGGAAATAAAAGTGCATAACAATTTCAGGAAACAATTGTGTTTAAGAAAAAAACTTTTTTTGATTTGAGAAACATATTTAAGTACACATAAATATAAATACTGGTAATGCTCATGGTAACTTGCATGTGCAATTTAAAATAAACATTACCTATTTCATACTCAGTTATTTATTTCTGAAACTGAAGATGAATTGATTTTGATATATCTGCAAAATGATAGTTATATTAAAACCATCCATTTATGGCACCAAGAAAGATAAATTGCCATATAAAATTAATCCACAGTTAAAAGGTGATGGCATAAATTTTATTTTCCCATTAAAGTTAAAAACCCGCTTCTCCGTCTTGCAGTTTACATTGGCACCTGGCGTATTGTTCTGATTATTGTCCAATCTAAAAATTTCTTCAAATTGTAAAAAAAAATTAAGAAAGAAAGCCTTGCATGTGCTATAAAAATTATTTCTTAAAATTAAAATTCATAGACTCTTAAAAACAATTTAAACTTTGAAACTGACAAGGAAAGATATTTTTATACAATGGGTGGATCTAAAAGGATAATTATTCTGAAATATACATCCATCTGTAAAGAGCTCTCTCTCTCTCTCTCTCTCTCTCTCTCTCTCTCTCCGTTTTATGTCATTTTAACTTGGCAAACAGGAGATTTAGAAAAGGGGAAAAAAGTTAATAGGATTCAACCACTTGTGAAGAACAGGACAAAAATTATATCGAAATAAAATAAATGTTAAAGATGGTGGCATTTAATTTGTCTTGTGAACTTAACCGTGTCTGTTTATTAACGTGTACGATTCAATTGGAGAGATAGCTTTGGAGTTGGTTTTTATGGCAGTGAGAAAAATTCTTTGACTCTGCAAGCGGAAAACGATCACACAACATTGCGCTGTAGAAGTTCTGAGGGACAAAAATGCATTGGATATTATAAGCAACCTGTAATTACGCGTAAGGGCCCTATTGCGTGTTTGTGATGTCTATTTATTTATAAACCCCCCTCTCTGACTTACACACATTAAAAAAAAATCTCGCATTTGCGCAAAGTTTTAATACCTTGCTCAGAAACTTAGATGGAATTTTTATCGGTGTGTAAACTTGTCGGATTTATTAATTATTCCCCAGGGCATGGATAATGGTGGGACATCTGGCAGTCACACCCGTTCATTTCTTTTACTGCCTTTGTTTCAAATCAGATATACTTGGTAATTGTCAAATTTTGAATTTTGTCGGGATTCCGATAGAAGAAAGGGGTGCGTATCACTTTTATACGTATGAAAATCAACAGGTATAATTTACACTACCCTTAATGCAATTAACTCTAACTTTTGACCCGAAGAAAAGGATTTCACACGTTTATTCATCTTACGATATCTTAATTGCCGCTGGATAAATTATGTAGTTTTGATCTCTTTACATCGAGATATTTTGTAAATTAGAATTAAATTTGTCACCTAGTTGAATTATACCGTCAAACGCGTGCAGAATTGATCAGATCATATTATAGTGTGAGAGCTGCAGTGAACATCGTATAGTGGCTGAGACATGGGACACAAGCATATCATCCTCCTAACCATTGTGGTAAGGTTTTATTACTTTATTTTTATATTCAAACTTTTTGTAGTTAGACCTTCATTTTTAACAATTATATGTTTTAAATCTTAATTTTTTCCTTTTCTAATTTTTACGGTTATTCTCTCTCTCTCTCTCTCTCTCTCTCTCTCTCTCTCTCTCTCTCTCTCTCTCTCTCTCTCAGCAAAAACTTTTTAAAAATATGTATATAGTGTAAATGATAATAATATTGTAAATATATAATTAATAATTTAATGTGTAATATATGCATAATTTTGTTATTTCTTAGTAAAATAAATAAATGAACAACAAAATGCTTGATCCACCACCCATGTTCATAACAGCAATTTTTAAGCACATTTTAAGAGAATGTTTACCAATCACCGGCTTTTCTACTTGTAGTCAATAATGGCCATTAAATAAGACAATTCTCATAAAACTTGACCATTTAATTTCCTCTGCTCTTTTATTTTCCGAAGATGTAGGTGTGTCTAGATTTGCGATTGTGTGTAACTGTATGTAAATTTTCTCCACAACTTACAGCTAAATCAGAAACTTCAAGAAACCAATAAAGGGCGATGAAAAGGATGGGTGGATTCAACGAGGATTTTTTATTTAAAATTTCAAATTAAGAAAAAAAATTGAAAGAATTGAGGAAAGTACGGTTTCTTATAACGGGGGGGGGGGGGGGGGGGGGTTGAACAGCAAAATTATAAAAATTAAAAGAAGTAAACTTTTTCCCCCGTTGCTAGTTCAGTAATGGTATAATTTTATTCGACGATCTTATTACATAATGCATTAACAACATTTGTAACCTTAACAAGTAACTTCCCGTATTTAATTTAAAGATGACTACATGTAGCAATATAGTTCTCAACATTTTGTGGTTAAGACTTAGAATGGAAATCGTTTTTCTCAGATCCGGGCTTAACTTGGTTTTATTTCCCATATTCTAATTAGGGTACTTTTGATGATGAGAACTCAATGATAATCACACATAGAAAAAATGATAGATAAATCTATATAGCGTTAATCATGCCGGTGCATCACAACTTCTAACCAAACGCGATGACAGACGAGCACTATAGATCGAACGAACTTTATATCTCAACTCTTTCAGCGAAAGAAAAATGTGCCTCCGCTACAAAGTAAATATTGATCAATTGTTTTGCGATCCTTGTGTGTTGTATAATTTACCTGAGCGGTTGCCTTTGATGTTAAATTAGAAACATTACACCTGGGATACCTTTACTATGCTTTCCCGATCACAGTGTTGGAAGAAGAGCTAATGAAAGGTGATAATTATGCACGCCAGCCTCTTGCGATGTTTCATGTTGCGTGATGAAATATTAATTTCAACAAAAGAAGAAATTCCATGAGAAATTAAAAATTAAATGCCTGTCAATAAAGTAATTTTCTTTTCCCCTCTTTTTATCGGAGTGTTTTATGTGAGGAAGTTTTTTTGGAATATATAACATGGTCACCCACCCATGAGGTCGTTTAAATGCGGTTAATGTTTTTATTTGCTTTGGGTATGAGAAGTCTTTGTTTTTTTATTCAATGCTGCAATTTTTCAAATTTCAAAAACTTAGTGCAAGTTAAATCATGAGAAGATTGTCCAATACCTTTATATAATACAAAGTGACGAAAGTCAATTTTAGTTTTTCATTTGATTAAATTTAGAGTTAAAAGTCACATCAAATTTTGATTTATTATTTCATTTACATACATATGTATATCTCTCTCTCTCTTTCTCTCTCTCTCTCTCACTATGTGGCATGAATTTTTATTTCCACCTCTCTGTTATGCATACGTTTTCGACCTTTTTTTAATTCCAAGTGCCTCTACAATCATTTTGTTTTTAATAAAATGAATGTCCCCCTCCATTCCAATTAACTAATATTTATCTAAATCATTTTGACAGACTTGCATCATGGGAAGCCTTTCTTACGAGGACTGCACATCGAACTCTTCCAGCGATATCTCAAAATGCTGCAGCTTATGTCCACCGGGCCATGGAGAAATCGAGAAGTGTACAAACGAAACAGATACAAAATGTCAGCCCTGTGAATACAGAAAAACGTTTTCTTCATCAAAATACGACACATTACCCTGTAAGAAATGTAAAACTTGCCGGGAAATGGAACGAGAAATTTCGCCGTGCAATACCACACACGATACCGTTTGTGGGTGTCCATTAGACTTTTATTTTGCAGAAGAAGTAAGGAAATGCCAGCTTTGTGACTTGTGTCCGTATGGTTCGGGTGTCATGGTACCCTGTAGTACTGACTCTAACTCCATATGTAGGAAATGCGAGAATGGTACTTTCTCCGACGTCAAGAGCGCCACCGCGCGGTGTAGACGTTGTTCCATCTGCAGGCCGAATCAATTCACAGTAATGGATTGTACAAATGAGCAGGACACCATGTGTTTAGGTAGGTACCTACCCTACTACCCCACTACCCCTATTAACCCACACCAGCACCACCAAAACAACTACACCTCTGCATTTTAAAGCGGCTAACGCGGTGGTTTGTACAGCACTATCCTTTCCCTTTATTTAAGCAGACCTATATGTATATATGAAAATTACTGATGAGGTATTTTAGAATTTCTAAAGTTCACAACATCTACTGTGTTATCAAACGATTTCATTTTTTATGTATAGAATTTTTCTTTGGTTAGAATCTACTCATGTCAACGTGATTTTAAATTAAAACAACCCTTGATCAGAAAACACACACCAAAACAGAAGTTCAGAGAAAGAATTTTTTTTGGTTATACTATTTTGTCAATTCGTTTCTCAGTAAACAACTATATACAACTTTCATTCATATGGCGAATCGATATACCTCAGTGAACTTATATTTCATATTTTGCTATTTTACTGATTATAGACAATAATGCCCCCCTTACAATAAAAATTCATTTTTTTCAATCGTCAGAGTTCCTTATTTAGTTATATACATATATTTCATTATCACGTTGATTCACCTGTTAATGGTTTTTCTGATTAAAAAAAATTCCTTTGCAAACATGCTATGCGTTAGACTAGTTTTCAACTTATAGACCGAAACAGGTTATTGGTAAATAAGTTTATGTTACAGGGATTTCAAAGAAATGATAGGCCGTAGTTCAAAACTGCTAGGGTCGCTATAATGACACCTTTCGCAAATATAACTAAAATTCAGTCTTATTGTCGACCGACAGATTTCATATGTCTATTGTTGGACACTTTTTATGCTAACTAATTTCCTGTCCCCCTGATCAAAACAAAGAGTTTACGGCATATGTAACGCATATATAACCGATCGACATGCAGGAAATGTTCATATAAACCGCCCAAACACCTGATACCCTTTGGAGTTTCTAAATGTCCCTGTTCACAAAATTTTACTTTTAATATAAGAATATCGAGATTGGCCATTGTTCGTTATTTTCATCTTTTTCATTCTGCATTTGTCGAGAATCTGTCAAATTGAGCATACAACAAGATTTCATTGTAATATCTTGACTGGCAACTTTTGTTAACCTATGCTTTCATAATCAGAAAATTAAAACATTTTTATGTTACAAAACTCCTGACACTAAAGGGTAAATATTCTGTTAATTCTAAGCACATGTAACCTTGACCTTTTGGAGAGGACATATATATGCATCTTATCTGGTGTCCAATCCAGTTATGTAATGAGTCTTTACACAATAAAATATTGATTAGATTATAAAAATTAGATATCACTAAGCATGGGAAACATTAAAACGACTAAAATAAGATTTTTTATTATCTTTATATCATAGCTGAGGAGGGTCGAATTTTTTTTCTCTAACTCTAATTCTGCGCCACCCCCCCCTTTTTTTTGTGAAGCGACTCCTAAATATGTCTGATATAAACCATCCTTGTTTATTATGTATTGAAAAAGTGGCATATACGCTGTTATCCTACTGATTGTTCTTTGGAATTAAAATCGATAACGTCTGGGCACTTCAAAAGAGATTTCATCTAAAATTTATAAATAAATTTGACAGCTGAAGCAGCTGACTTATTCTACACCTATCCGGCCTCGTTCTTTATTCTCTCACATGTTTGAAACTAGATATTTATTTTTAATGACATATGGTAGTTTTATGTTTTGATCTTTATAAAGCTTCAAGTTTTATTTAATTGTATAGTGTATGTATTGATTATAATTTAGAAATTAGTACAGTAACATGGATAGAATTTAAACCTGTTGAATTATACATCAAAGATGGAGGAATATATAAATCAAACAAGTTTTCCATGAGTTAATTTGAGAGAGAGAGAGAGAGTCCATAAGGACTAAATACGACTGTGAAGTTTAACCATCAATTTGATAACATGTTTGTTAATTTCATTCCTATAACCATGATTGTTAATTAAGACACCACGTCCTGACAAAAAAAAAAACTATACCTCCAGAACGACTGTGTTGAATTTGTCCTTTTCATCTCTTTTTTATTTTAAAGATCAATCACAATCTAAAATCTCGCGAGATTTTAAAAGCTGATGTTTGGTTTATATATGTACTTATTTTACATCGATAAAAAAGTCTCTCTATTTGATATAGCAATGCAATAAAACCCGAGATAGAAGTATTCGAATTTCCTTTAAGCCATTACTTAAATCAATTTAACGCCGCGTTTACCAACATCAAACACAGTTTCTGCATTCGTTTTAATTTTTTGATCTACATAAACAGGACATTGATCTATCGTAATATTGGAAATTCATACAATTTTTGTCTCTGTCGTCGTCAACATGTTTTACCAATCAAACTTAAAGTTAATCAACTAAAGGTGCATGCAGTGAGAAGGGGGTTAAAGTAACATTTGTTCTTTCTAATTATCCTCCAAATCCAAGAGTTTCTTCATAACACGAAAGGTTAATATGTGTTTAAAACTAGGACTGGAGTTTTGACTTGCAAAAATTTGGAAATACACATCTAGGTGTGGACCAAATCCGTTTCCATTCCACTGGCTCTGTAGCTCCAGACCTGTATCTCGCTGGTCTGAAAAAAAGAAGGATTGATCAATATTTTTTTCCCGCGAGCTACAGTTCTGCAGCTATTGGCTTTGAAACCAAAGCCATTTGTATATTAATTTTCATTGGAACTGTATGCAATTTGCAATTTAAGAGTATTTTCCTAATCGAATAAGGTATCAACTTTATATTACATGTATATAATAAAAAATCTTAGTTGCATATTATGGGCAAAAACGCGGATTCTCTCGGGAGTGTTCAGTTACCGGAAGTCTGCCTGACTCAAGGACTGCTCCCCGTCAGTATAAAGGAACCACAGATGATCGTAGCTGTAAAATCGTCTTTTTGATTTCAGATTGTTTGAATTATGTATACAGGGTTTTATTTTATCGCTTTATGGCCCCGACAACTGCCTGCCTCCACCATAGGACTACAAAAGAGGAAGAAACGATAATATCTGCCGGTTACGACAAACCCCGATGTATAAAATACGTTACCCCTTTTCATGTTTTCTTTTTAAGATGTAGAAAACACGAAGTTGATCAGGGATAAAACCAGATTAACGACGCAGTCAAAGTGTTTGTTGTGAAAGCATTTGGTGGTTAGAAGTTTGATGGATAAAGTCACGAATGTCTAATTTATATTATGTCTCAACGAATCACCATGATAGAAGTTAATACATTTTTTTTTTGCAAGAAAGTTGCAGACAAAAGATTTTGAATTTTTAATGTAGAAATCGACGAACAGATTAATCAATAAGATATAAATCGAATAGATTGAGACCTCCGCAAAGAATTTTGAATCTCGGACTCTTATGTGGATCTTACATGTAGATCCCAAACATTGCAATTCAATGCAAAGAACACACTCCTTCAACTAATCAAAATTCCTCTGTTCAAAGTAACTTTTAGCTGTTTTGTAACTGTGTAGATTATACCCTGTATTACTTTTCAAATACAAAGTAACCCAGATTATTTCTCATTGTTAATTGGAACACCATCTTAGCTAACCAAAGGTCTCGGGTCCGCTACACTCCTCAGAAACGGACTATAGAAACCACTGGCTAGCGAACATGTCGGAACCAATGTACGAGTTTTCTCTCCGTCATTTTACATTCAATCCAAAATGTAAGGGAGAAAACACGTGGGTTTTGAAGATGCCTGAATGATAACCATTGACATTTCAGAAGTCGAAGATTAGAGGATCATAAAAGTTACAGCTTTATGTAACTCAAAATTAGATATTACGGCACTATAGTATGGAGGGGGTGGGGGGTGGGGGGGGGGGTTACAATGTTTTTTTTATTCCGAAATGGAGATGAGTGAAAATACAAAAGACTTGGAATTTATTAATAAAATATAATACAGAACAATTTGTCCCGTTTTTGTGATACATGAAGTACATGTTTAATGTATGTTTTAGTCTATCCTTTAAAATTATGAAGATTGTATCTATTATGAAGACCAGTAAAATCCTGAAAAGTTAGACTACAAAAGCCTTTTTCCTAAAATAAAAATTCAAAGAAGAATTAAATGTAATCTTTGATATTTTTAGCTCACCTGAGTCGAAGGCTCAACAAAGCTGTTTTAAATGAAATTTATCCGTTGTCTGACGCTGTAAACATTTCCCATTTCATCGCCTTCTCCAGAACCGCTGAGCCAGCCAATGTCATTCAAATCAAATACCGCAAAGTATCCTTGAGTGAAGAGAATTCAGAGAACATTATAAAGAATTGTGGAAAATTAATGAGAATAAAGTTTCAAAAACTTCTTTTCAAGAACCACCTGGGCCAAATAAGATGAAACTTGAATAAAAGCTTCGTTGCAATTGTTACAGTAGATGTACTTATTTTAAAACATGACCCCGGGGTAGGATGGGACCACAATGTACGATGAAAGTATTATATATAATTGTACAGTAAAACATGGATATGGCGAATATCATACCTCTTACAAGGTAACAATTTTTCTTTACCGTGGTTCTAAATTCGAAACTTTTTATATAAAAACATTTAGCCCTCTAACAGCTCCATAATATTAGAGCCCTTAACAAACTGAAAAAATCGCCTCACATGAGTCGATTTCCGATTCTAAGGGGAATGGGGTTGATTATTTGATTTGATACTCATACTCGGTTAAAAGTCATGGCTCATGAGCCACTTGTGGATAGAAATTCAAAGCTCCAATCCATTACATTATATACATATGCTTATTTTTGATGCACTGAAAATAATTTGATATCGCCCGAATTGACATTGATTTGTTGTAGTATGCCTATATATATTTTTTCTCCTTTCATCATTTTTGCCCAAGGCGCCATGATGGTTTCGAGTAAGTGTGCTGTATGAATACTAGTATCCAATAAAAATACAGTGATATTAAAAAAAACAACATAATGCTAGAAAAAGATCCTTGTTTCGCTTGAAAAAAATTCTATAAAAAGTTCAAGCACCCTAAATATCGTTTTCTGGAGACATGTCATTGGGTACAAGATATATATGTTTTAAAAATTTCTAACACCCTTGTCTGATTTCTTTTTGGCCCAATTAACTGATTTAATGTGCGTCACATTTGTTAACGAGCAACATTGCAAAGGAATGGGCATTGATCCTAAAAATATAGAATACTTAAAGTTATACTTTTAGACCCAGACAAGTTATTTTTTAATCCCGATGTAAATCACGAACTAGTTTGCAAAGATTCGACTCTAAATGAAGTCATCTAAAAGAAAATCTCTAAATAGGTTAGAAACTGTCAATTCATCGTATATGTTTTTTGATGAATAATTTTCTTCACAAAACAACAGACTTCATGACCACGAAGCTTTGGTGAGCTCACTTTTGATCTTAATCTCGCTTTTAGAAAAAGAGTGTATAGTGGAAAAGTGAAACTGATATCAAAAGTGACCTCAACTCTAAGTTTTTATGTCCCTGAATCCATAGAAGTGTGATCAGCACTTGTAATATATTCATTTCTTCCTTTGACATACGATTTTTACGAGGTTGTCTGAACTTAATACGTATTATTGTAAAATGAATAAAAATAAATCCGTAAATACAGCAAACACGTCTAAAAGAATTTCATTGGTTGAATTTCTGATATCAAAAGATATATACTTGATTAAAAAAAAATAATATCTGATATCTTGATTTTTATTTGTTATACTTTTTTTATATCAGAAATTCGATTTTGATATAAAGAAAAAAGTTTATTTTTGTCTGTGAAATTTTTTTTTTAGATTAGGAAAAGCCGGATAGGCTCATATAGTATCTAGCAAATTCATAATCACTTGATATAACTAGCGTGTTTTAAAATTTGGATGCATGTAAGTATTACACCCAATCCCCGCCCCCAGGGTAAATACTTTAGATGCTGTAAATAAAATTTTAAATTTTAGTACCCAATCAAACCAAAAAAATGAACGAATACTATAAGAATTAAAAACTATGAAAAAGCATCTTTAGAAGGAAATCATTATACCTGGTAAGTTCACCGAAATTAAAAAAAATTATTCAAAGTCACTGAGTGGTATAAAAATTTAAGAAAGATCCACCTAATTTTTTTTCAAGCCATAAACTGTAAAATACCACATGATATTATGTAATTTCCTTTATTTTCAAACAGAACTCGTCTTTTCCAGGAGGTTTAAATTGCATAAAAATTGTCGTGACCACATAACCCTTTTAAGAATCTAAATTTGTGCTTTCATGTACTTGTTGGGAATGTTTTATGGAAGGAAGTTCAGGAAGCAGACCTTTTTCTTTCCATTTACCATTATGTCAATCAGTTATTTTTGGTAAAAAGAGTCCAAAATGAACACAACTCCGTTTTAGGGAAAACCGCCCAAATAACGCTTCTGGACTTGACTCCTCTTTTGGGTGAAATCATCATTATGTTGATCTGAACAAATTTCAGAATGTGCAGGCAATAAGAAGCAAAATAATTTACTAGCAAAGATAACACATTCATTGTAAATGGCAAATCTTCGATTTAAAAAAAAATACATTTTGTCATTGAAGCAACCAAATATATATCAACAGGTTGAACCCTATTTGTAGTTAAAAACATCTTCTCTATTAATATAAACTTATTCAAGAACATTAAAAAAAATTATGAACAGTCGAAAAGTGATTTAATTTTTCTTTTAGTGCACAGCTGAATAGTTTATAATACATGCATGTAATTCAGTGAAAAGTGGCAACATTATTGCATCCTAATTGCATTTGCAGGTCTTCAGTTTTCCTTGCACATATAATGAGGATATAATTGAAACCTATCTTAATTTGACGCTTTGCATCAAATCTGGAGGAACTTAAGTTTCGAACGTTTAATAAGTTTACTCGCCATTTTTGATACATTGGTCGCTTTTCAAAAAGTGTTTTTTTTTTAGGTTTTCTTACATGAAACGACTATTGATTATGAATATGATGAATAATCTTTTTCTTCTTTATCTTATTTAAGATAAACCAACAGCATTCCTAACGACAAAGCTAACACAACAGCCACCTAGTAAAACCATCAAAGAGGACGAATTCGACGCCATTCCAATTTACTGCGCAGCTCTTGGAGCGGTTGTGCTAGGTCTCCTTGGTTATGTGTTCTTCAAACAGTATTCCAGACTCAAAGACAAGAAGCGCCACCAAATTCATGATCCGCACGATCACGTGGAATATGCAAGAGCTTCCGGTGGTACAGACAGCGGCGTGTGTGTAGATTTTACCATGCAATGCAAAACATGTAAGCCTTCTTTTTAAAGTTACATGAAATCTACACATTTCTTCAACTTATAAGTATCTTTATCTTTAGATGTTGGTTTTGCAAAGTACATCTTGTAAGAAACAATACACAACTTGCGACTTACAGAAAACAAGTAGAAATATTGTTTCTTACTGAAAGAGATCACAAGTTCAAAGATTTGTATCAAAGAGAAACATTTCTTTATAAATAGGATACATTTCGTTAGATCAATGAAACAGATACAAAACTTACAAGTTAGGATTATACTTATTTCCAAGAATTAAAAGAGATATAATTTGAAGAACACATTTTGATTCTCGGTTACTAAGAATTAAAGAGCTCTACAAATAACTTACAAATAACTTTATAAAATATGACATTTTCTTCGAAGAAACAATTCTTTTACTTATATTGAAAAATGGTGTTAAAACCAAGTTTCCCTTTGATCAATGTGACTTTATAAAAGATGACATTTTCTTAGAAGACACAATTCTTCAACAAATATTGAAATGATGTTCAAACTAAATTTCCCCTTGATTAATAGTTATAAATTTCCAAATGCTAAAAACATATTGTCATTTCAACACGTGGTTTTACAAATGAACAAATTTTGTTTCTCAGATAATGAGCTCACAAAGTACAAAGATCTTCCTATATCAAAGAGAAAGTGCGTGGAGCATCAGTTAGTTAGCCGCCGCGGAAATCCCAGCGACTGGAGAGCTCTGGCACAAATTCTCGGTATAAAGCTTCACTGCACTCTTTTTTGTTCTTTTAATCTCCTTTTTTACAGTGTACATCGAACAAGAGCTAAATAAACACAGATGAATAGTAGCAGACGAATCAAAGGCGTCAGGACATGAGATACGGTCCTTTGCACTGGTGCAAGCTTAGTAATAACATTGATGTGCACAGGAATATCATTGAAACGCTTTACTTCAAAAATTATTTTGAGTAATATCTCTATACAAATCAAAGTGTGTTGCCAGTTTAGCGATTTTCAAGCTTATCCAATGGCAGCTACAAGAATCTCAAGTTGATATGACTATAATGGTGACTTAGAGCTGTGTCAAAACTTAAGGTCAAGGTCATACTAGAATATACAAGACTAGGATCATTGATGGATGGAATGTAATAGATTTGAAGTTTAGCGTGCTGTTCGCAATGTCTTTGAAATGTGTTCTGGTTTTGATTTAAGGTCATATTTTTCAAGGCTAAAGACCACTGCATTGAAGGCGTTTATATCATGAATCAAGAGTCATCAACTTGATGCAATGACCCTTATATAATTTGTAAAAGGGGGATAACCTCTTTTTTAAAATTTCATCTGCGATCCGTGTATTCGACAGATCATATAAAATTCATCATTTTATGGCGTTCCTTAAAAAAAGTAGAACTGGAAAAGCGTTTCGGAATTTTTAACAATTTTAATCCTTTTTTTCAGGATACACATCTACAAAGATTGACCAATTAGAATCGAGTGCTGGGGACAGTTTACATTGTTGTCAGATGATGTTGCAGACTTGGTCACACAGTAAACGGAACACGACCGTGGGCATACTTATGAAAGGACTTAGTCATATAGGTCGACACGACATTGTTAAGATCTTACAAGCTGATCTACAAGTGTCGAAATCAGATCATAAACACGTTCGAATTGTATGACATAACTTTTACTTTGAATAATCAATATTTTTTTTTTATTTCTCTACATTCCAAGATGAAAGACAAAACAATGTTTGTTTACGGCGATAGATTTGACCTTGGAAGTGGCCTTGAGTACGAATTCATGATCGTTTTCTGATGCTGTTTTATATGTACATTATGAATCACAAACTTTTTAAAAAATGTTTTGTTTGTACATCAAACCAATGCTTTTTACAATTTTAATTTATTAAAAGTATTTTCTTCAATTTAACAGGTTGTGAGAGCTTCCTTTGAACATTATTTCTCGCAATTAATTCTTGTGTCGTTGAATCTTTTTTCTCAATCAACATTCAGTTTACATAATACATACCAGGCACGTGGTAACGTTTCAGAAAATTAGGGAAGGGGGAAATTAACAACTTCAAAACAGAACAATCCTATTTTCAGGGATGGAAAGCAACTTTTTATGAATATAAAATTTTAAATACATATACGTCACCAATGAAGAATTTGACATTGCTACAACAAAATGGAGAGGGCAAATCAGCGAACATTTGCATACTGAATTAACAATAAAGATATACATGCATATTATTTGGAAAAAATGTGCCCTATTCCGTGCAAACATTTATATAAATAGAAAAGAAGTGTTAAGTTCCTAAAATTTTCTTTAGAATTTCAATTTTCTTGAGGACTAAAAGGATGTATGTGTAGATAAAAAGAGAAATATTACGGCATCAAAGGGAACCACCTTTATGTTTTTTATCTATTTATTCCCAGTCTCTTTTGCCGAGTTGTCACACCTCTGCAATGGGATTTCGTCAAGATTTTGACATAAAAATAAAACGATTTTTCAAAGATTATTTAAAATCAAACTTAATGCTTATAAACTTGACACTTTAAAGACGAGTTTTCTCATTTTTCCCCTTTAAACTATACAGTATATTCTTATTTAAAAAGACAACTTGGATCCTTCATACTGGTCCAATCCTCTCCATTATTTTAAAAAATCCCATTCTATACTCTGCCTGGAAGCTTTCAAAGAAGCTTCATTTTTTCTGACCCACTGTTTCTTCAAAAGATTTTTTAAATGACCCACCAACAAAAGACATTGGCCCTCGATTTGAAAAAAACATGAATCTTCATCCCCATAGGATGCTTTGTGGCAAGTTTTTTTTTAGCTTTGGTAAGTCAAAAAATGTAAAAAGGTTCAAAACCATTGACAGACAACATATGATCGTATAGGCTCACTGTTCTAGATCCACTGGTTCAGGTGAAGTCTTAATTAATGATAAAGAATTTCACATTCAATGCTTGGTTCTTCTACTAGAATGTTACGTTTTTCCTGAAATTCGACCCATTTACGAAAAGTATTGATGGAAAAAAAATGTTTATACACATAGACAGACGGAAAATAAATGATACTACATTCACCCAAGCTCATTTGGTCTTTGGTCAGAAGAGTTTAAATTTTTATTAAAAATATTTCGCAATAAAAAGAACACAAAAGTCTCGTATTTTCAAATATAATCTTAAAATCTGTAATTATGTATTTTTTGGAGTCATCCAAAAATTATAACTTGCTGAATAACAAAGACTTTACTGATTTAAATGAGCAAATTACAACACCTCCATAAAAATGGGCAATTACAAATACACATTTCAAATGAGTCAAAAAACAAATTTCTTGAAATGAAAATTTAAACACAATTATGGCACGCCAAATTCACACAAATGAGCTAAACATAGTTTCACAGTCGATAAACTATGTTTATCGGTTGTAAACTGTAGTTAAACAACGTAAATATTTTACATCTGTAAACCATAGTTAAAGCGATAATCTATGTTTCAGAACCGTAAACTATACTTACGACTGAAAACAATTTTTTGCGATTGCAAAACATAGATTATCTGATAAATACAGTTTCATGATTTGTAAACTATGGTTTACAACTCTTAACTATAGTTAACGATTTGATAAATATAATTTCACGATTTGTGAAACTATGATTAACAACTCTTAACTATAGTTCACGATTGTAAATTATAGTTTACAGACGTGAATCTATGTTTATCAACAAAATCTATTGTTAACGTTTTATTACAGACAGATAAACTTAGATTAGCATTCGTAAACTATAGTTAACAATAAGTTTTATAGATGAAAACTATGGTTAACGAATTGTAAACTATAGTTCATGGTTTGTAAACTATAGTTTACAGTCGATAAACCTAGTTTATCAACTGTGAAACTATTTTTAGCTCATTTTTGTGAATTTGGTGTGCCATACACAATTCATCAAAGAATGTTGCTACAAAACAAAACGAAGCACCTGCATTCTACAACGACTGTTTTCCACAACATATGAAAATATGATGGATCCTATTAATGATAGAGAATATTTCTTATCAAAACCTTTTTTAAGAAAAATCTATGAAAAACTATTTACAAAGAATTAAGAACATTTGTACGCTCACAAAAATACCCAAAACACCTACTACCTGAACAACAATTTTAGTTCTCTTTCAATTATAGAAAAATGTATAAAAATAATGTTTTAATATTTCTTATTGTAAAAAATCTGAGTTTTTAAACAAACCTACGCATCCTTTCAAAGCAATAATATTTCTAAAACATTGCTCCTTGAATCTCTGAAAAAATTCACAACTTTAATTTAATCGATTGTCTTAAACCCCCTCTGTGACATGTACCGTATATACTCGCCTATAAGTCGGTCTGCCTATAAGTCGGTTGTATTTTAAAAGCTTATATATCATAGGGACTGACCTCATATAAAACCATTCATTTTATAGCTCGCCTATAAGTCGGACATAGAGTTTTGGACCAGAAATTAACTCCCAAAAATCCGACTTATAGGCCAGTATATACGGTACATAAAGGTATGATTTTTTTACTAATCAAGTTGTATGTATATTTATTAGAATGGAATTTTTTTGCTTATAGCCTTAAATGTAATGTAAATGGTTGCCTACTTAAGAATATATCGAGAAAATCACCTAGAGGGTAACTATCATTTTGAGTTATCTTTAACAGAAAAATTAAGCCACTTGTAGAATACTAATTAAAAGCAGGTATAAAAACGTCAATAATTGTGCAAAGGTCACGGTTCATGATGGAAATGCAATTTAAACAAAACTTTCAGACTTATAATAAAACAAGGTCGCATTTCCTTTCATATTTCAGGATATAAAAATTAAAAAATATGAATAAAAAAATGTTTCACAACATATATGAGGGCTGTTTAGAAATTATTGAGACATTGCGAATGCAGTTCTGAATCAAATGAACACCAAACATCAATGTGGAAAGCTAACAGGATGTACCCTCTGTGGGAAGAGAGATAATCCGAATGTTGATACCGTAACTGCATAACCTCATGTGAGGATTATATTATATCAGCTAGATAATTTCTTAAAAATCTAGTGGTAACTGTATTTTTCACACACAATCTTCCATACTTATTTCTAATAATGTGAAGTGTCGATAACGAACAGTGATCATTTTAATAAATTCTTTAAAAAAAAACAACAAATTGTAAACAGGGTCTAAACACAGACCCTTGAAAACATCAAAAGGTAAGTTTTTTTAAACAGTGAACAAAAAACACAATACACTCTCATATGAAGCCCAATGCTTTACTTCAACATTTTCTTGCAGTAAACATGGTAAAACACTAAAATAACATTTGAAATATGAAACCAAAAAAAAATCCATGAAAAATGGCACATAGTGGTCATGAAAATATAAGCACCATAACTAATTAAAAAGCAAACAAACAACTCAGATGATAACATCAACAGGAACAACTAAACTAGATTTAAACTACCGGTAATTACACTTTTTGATTTATTTGTAAGTTTTCTTAAAGAGGAATTCAACTTGGAGTTGACTTTAATTGCAAATCATTTGCTAAATCAATGGATTTTAATGGTTATATACATATCAAACACTGATTTACAAAAAGATGATTAAGTCACTTGGCCCTACATTAAGTACTGGTACACAATAATGCATTTAAAAGAAGCAAAATTCAGATATTATGAAATTTTTTTTTACAATTTATCATCCATTCATTTTAGGAAAGCATTGGCTTCAAAATCATGAACCCCAGGCATGCATACATATGTATGAAATGTTTTCTACACATTTTCACTATACATACAGCTGTACATTAATTTTGTGTCAAACTTGAAAAAAAATATATTATACACCAAACCAACTTCAGAATATGAAAGAACAGTACAGAAAATTTGGATAGGAGAAAGAAAATGTTTGATTCTTTAAAGAAATATGAGCTGCAACTTTGAAGCCATAAATTTTTATTGCAAAACTATAAATACAAGTAACTATTTCAAGAACAGAGAAAAAGAATATTTATAATCTTCCGTTGTTCATATTTGTGATGGAAGAACTTTTTATAAGCAATGATTGAAGCAAAATTGCATTACTGTCATTCTGTACAATATTGATGTCTTAACTAATGCTATTATACTTGATTATACAGAAGTGTTTCTTTCGAAACAATTGAATACGTTAATTTAGTCTAACTGAACATAAAGGTTTAATGTACATAAAAATTTATCATAATAACATATTTCATCGGCAAAATAAAACTATTAAAAATGCAGCTCAAATTGCTTTAAATAAAAGCTCAAATGAAAGATATTCAAATGAAAACAGAAGTTGGTAAACTTACATTAAAACAAATGAAAATTGTTTGGGCCTACAACTTTAACTTTCAACGGTTGCCTAGCCATAACCTGTAAACAATCACAATATGGCAAAAATCACACTTTATCCATAATATCAATTTACAATTCATTCCTCTTTTTTAATTACAAGGAAAGCTAGCTAGGTTATCACAATAAACATATCTGGCCTTATGCCGGGGACCTTTACGGAGGCAAATGATAGAACAAATATGCTTATACCATCTTTTTTCATAAAGAAATAAGGTTTTATTTCATATGGAAGTATAATTCTAAAAATTTAGTTTTACATTTTTTTTCCTACTTGTAAAGCCTGATATTTCAATCCGGTAAACATCACACATTAAAGAACTTTGCATTCCAAAAGTTGAAACAAAACTTTACGTTTCCACTCTAAATGAAATTTTAATCAAAACATTTTTCTTGCGCACATATCATTAACTAAACTCATCTTTGAACCTAGCTTCAGGTCAAAGATTTCCTTAAAAATTGAAAAAGAGAATTTTTTTTGGTTAAAAATTTCTTAAATTTAAAGAAACATCTAATACTGCATGTGAACATATTTGGTTTTCATATTTTACCACAAAAACATGTTTAAAGATGGTATATTCATGAGCATTGCTGAAATGTGATTTTTCATATGTTCTTCACAAGAGATATGCTAAATTTCAATACTAAAATATTAGTAGGTAAAAATATATATAGATTCCTAATCATACATCCCAACTAGTCAACAAACAATACAAAATCAACCAATCAAAAATGACAAAACAAAACTTGTTTTTATCATGATTTTTGAAAAAAAAAACCCAAAATGGTGGTCATTGGCTACACTTTGACATTCATACTGATTTTCTCCAACCTTACACTACATTTCTTTGTCATGTCTGCCAAATTAAAATAGTCTCTGTGTAGTTTTGTGCTTTTTTCCTTTCCACCATCCTCCTTGACAGAAGAGTTACTGGTTGAACATACACTGGCAGTTGACAAGCTTTCCGACTGGATTTCTTTTGCTTTCTCCACATTTGCATCATCTAAGTCTAAATCTGGAAGACTATCACTCCAGATATCAGACTCCGGTTTTCTTTTTTCTATCAATTTCACAGTTTCTGTCAGGTTCTTATGCACCTCAACACTGACTTCAAAATCCCTGTTGCCCACTTTCTCTGTACACTGCCTTTTGGTTTCTTCATATATTGCATCTAAAGTCAGTGGTACACTTTCTTGGTCTACAGGTGGGACTATATTTTCAGCAGGTTTCTCTTCAGCCATGATGAATTCAGTAGAAATAACACTTATAGATACTATGTCTTCACTACTGTCCTCTGTTCTCAATCTACTCTGTTCAGCAATTGCTTTATCCTTTTTTCCATCTTCATTTTCACTAACAGGTAATGGCAAGCTAGTTATTTCTTCATCTGCTTGGTCATTTGTCCCACAAATGTTAACATCCTCTTCCCTACTATTGATGTTTTCTAATTCTTTTGTCACCCTATCAATGGTTTCTCCTACTTCTGGCAAGTCTTCCTTTGTGGGTTCATCCAACTGAGCTTTAGCACCAGTGGTCTCCTTCAGAGAAAACAAAAGTTTGTCAATATCCATGCAGGATTCTTCTTCATCATGATTTGATTCACTTCCAGAAGAAAAGGCCACATTGTCTGCAAGCTGCTTAGCAATCACTTTCTTGATATTCACAGATTTTAAGTTCTGTTTCTTAGTTATCCTTTTTAGCACAACTGAACATGACTTCAATTTAGGAACTTCCTTTTTTCCAGCAGATATATTTTCAGCCATTGCTGTAGCCTGAAGTTCAGGTTCAGGTATTATAGGCACCTGTAAAAATCTTCTCAAACAGTACAGTTCATCATCTACCACTTGGTCCACATTTATTACATTGAGGGCAGGATTATCAATTTGATTGGGCATTCTGTCACCAGTTTGATTCAAGTCGTGTGGACAGTTTGATACAGAATCTGGATCAAGTCTCATGAGTTTTACACTACATGGCCTCACTGATGATTCACTATCAACACTCTCCATGTCTATCCATTTCTTTTTCTGAGCTTTTCGTGTGTTTGGTTTAGGGATCTTCAATGGCTGCCTCCTGGTGCTCCATTTGGACAAACTGGACATGGTATCTCCACTTCTCCTCCTTTTTCTGACAGGTAGAGTTGGAACTAGAAACTCTGAAGAGCTGTTTCTTGCAGCAGTTTCCCTCACTATTTCATCTGAAATTGATTTTTCAGTTCTTTTTTTCAACTCTTTGACTATGTCATCAAAAATCCCAACATTCTTACTCATGTATTTTGCAATCTCACTGCTACTTAGTCTTGGAATATTCACACTACATAGTTTTATAGGGGATGACTGACTGGCTTTCATACTTTCTTGTTGACTTCCTTTACTATTTGTGGACTTCTTACTTTTATTCTGAATCTCAGTATTTTCAGCTGAAACTTCACTAAGTTTTCTTGTTCGAGGGGAAGTTCTCTTGGTATTCACTGTTCTATCATTGTTAAAACTTTCTTTTTCGATTTCGTTCTGTGATTGACAAGGTGAAGTGTTTGCTAATGATTTAATGAATTGTTCTTGCCATGACTGTGACCTCACTGTCCTAGTTCCATAGTTAACTTCACTAGCTGTTTCTCGTTGAAAAGACATAGGTTTCTGCTTTGGTTTATGAACAGCTCTGGTGCTTGAACTCTTTTCTGAACTTGATCCTGGAGACAAACTGATTGTGGAAGCACTAGTTCTCCTACCAGATCTTCTCTGTTGTAGGTATAACTTGGGCTCCATGGGTACTTTAAAGTTGTCAAAGTCAGAACTTTTCTTGTCATCAGCTGCCTTTGGTTTTTCTTTTATCTTAGTCAGGGACGAATCTATAACAATTTTTTCAAGACTCACGGAACACTTCTTAATCTGTTCTAAAAACTTTTTGCTAGAAATTTCACTAAACTTTTCGAGCAGAAGTGAATTTTTAGAATGTCTTGCATGTTCATTCCTCCTCTCTTCCAATTTCTTGATGACGGTGTTTGATTTGAGATCATGCTTGAAGTTGATTTCACTAATACTTTCAAACAATCCAGGCCTACCTCTTCTACCCCTCCTACTGCTAGTCATGGTATCTTTCTGTTCCTCCTGTTTTTCACCTCTTAACATCCTTGAATTCTTAGGTTTTTGAGTTTGATTGGTAACTGAATTGCTTGACTTTTCCTTGGCCCTCATATTAACACTTTTACTTGGACTTGGTATCTGCTTTTTCAATTGATGATCTGGTGATAGATTTTCAGTTTTTGTAAACCTCTCAGATCTTCTTCTGTCATTGGATTTCAATTTGGAGGGATTTTCTGGGACTTTGAATTCACCATCTTTATTTTTTCCCTTCTGCGGAGACATCGCACTGCCTGTGTAGCTTGCAATGGACTCACCACTCAAACGACGCACTCTTACTGATAATGGCTTTAAGTTCACGAAATTTTCTTTTAGATTATCTGATGAAGTTTCAGTAGTTTCTGCTTTATTTTTCACAACTGTCTCTTCATCAGTTTCACTTTGTAGACTTTGAGCAGGTGGTTCATGAAACAAGGGTTCACTCTGAACAGGTGGCTCGGGAAGAGGTTTTTTACTGCTTGAGGCATAAGACACTTCAGATGTTTGTTTCTTTGGAGACCCTCCAGTGTATACGGCAATGGATTCCTCACTTAGCCTTCTCACTTTTATGGAACACTTCTTAATGTTTCCAAATAGGTCTTCATAAGAATACTCCTTGCAAACATCGTTTTTTCCAGACAAATCAGAAGCGGACAGAGAACTGCTTGGATCTTTGACAGAGCTTTCACATGCAGTTTCCTCATTACTAAAGGACCTGAAAATGAAGCCATCAACATCTGTACTTGTCACTTCAGTCATGTCTGCAAAATTTGTTACATCTTCTTCCTTGTCCGATTTTGAACACTTTGGGGAGGTATCTGTTAGACTAGGTAGATTTTCTCTTGCCTCATCACTTGGACTGAGCTCTCTGACATTTACACACTGTTTTACCTTTGAACCTGCAGTGAGTTCTTCATCCTGATTATGCTCACTAAGCTCTTTAGAGTTACTCTCCATGTTAGTGTTGCTGTCATGGTCTTTCTTTGCCCCCTCTAAGCTGCTCTGCTGCATTACTTCATTTTCATCATTCTGATCTTTCTGATCTTCTGTATGTCTATTGTTTGCAATATCTTGATGTATCCCCCCTTCCTCCGAATTCAGTGACTCTGGAGAAGTTTCATTGGCTGACGTATCATCTTCAGACACGACCAGTCCAGACATCTCCCTGCAGATGGCTTCAAGCTTGGTTGGTGAACAAGTTGTGTGCTTTCTTCGTCTTTTTCTCTTTTTGATTTTCTGCAAGTACTTTTTGTCTTTTAATTTATGTCCAGGATATTTTATGGCTGAAGAATCTATACCTATCTGAAAGTCAGGTTCTTCAGAGCTCTGTTCCTCTCCAGTCAAAACACTACCTTCTTTTTGAAGAGAATTCTCAGATTCTTTGGGCAACTCTGGACCTAAATTTAAACAAGGGCCATTGCTGGTCAAATCTGTATTTGATTCCAATTGTCCAACAGTTTTTGGAGTCAATTCATCAGCCCCCTCATTTTCCTCTTGTGACGGACTTATGGAATATCCAAGTTCATAGAGGATTTCATCCGATACACTGGGACTAGTAACAGGCTGGTCCCCAATAAGATTGTCAGTTTGTCCACTCATTGTAATTCAGTTGTCCACTCATTGTGGTTCGTCAAAATTCTTTCCCATTTTAACCTGAAAAATAAAATTTTACGATTGTGATATAAATAAAAATTTGACAAAAATTTCTTAGAAAATAAAATAAAGTGCCACGCCACAGCATGATACGCCCGTCAAAAAATTACAATTATCTTAAACAATTAAAAGTGCAAGAAAATCATGTCAACCTTGATTTTAGATTTCCATGATTTTTCAACTCCTTAAAAATTTGTTTATCCATCTCCTGTGGTGTAGGCATTAATTATAACATATATTGCATCATTCATAGATTTCTATACTGGTTGTGTTAGACCTTGCCAAAATGCCTATCATATTAAACAAAATCAAATTAGTCTTAACAACTTAATCTATACCTAATTAATTTTGAAAATAAAAGGCTGGCCATCAAATATAAAATGACCAACAGTTCTTCTGTCTAATTCCCAAAGGATACACTGTCAGTTAAGATAATGCTCTGAAGAAATGATTGAGACAGCTATAGCCTTGCTACATTGAACACATTAATTAATCTTTAACTGGATGCTTGTCTACTCATTACTTCCAAGAGATTATTGGATCTGCACTATCTACCATAAAGCATGTTTAAAACATATAAAACCTCAATGATTTTTTTGTTAGATTTAATGGCAGACAGGTTTTAATATGCAATTCATATGGACATGCTGATTCCACCCCACTCCCATAAAATTAGTTTTTTAAAGTTCATAATATTATGTAATATCAAAATAGTTTATTATGCAAAATCAAATTAGTTTTATTTACTTCTCATTAAATTCATTTTAAAACTTATGCTAGCCAACAAGAGCTATTTTTAATCAACAGGATTACCCATTTGTCCCAATACTCAAGGGATATAGATAGCACCGATGCTCTTCCTCACACTAAACTCATTAATTTCTCTCTCTAATTTGACATGCAATTTTCCGTTATCAAAATTCTTCTTGACCAGTGCTTGATAATTAAACTCATGGGAGTGGTGGAATTTCTTTAACATACATTACATTTGTTATAGATTGCTGTCAAGTATATGCTAAAAAAAATAAGTATTTTCTTGATTTAACATTTTTCTAATAAGGATAGTGCAATACTTTTACATTTTTTGGAGTGTGTAAATGAAGAGAAAAAAAGACATTTTTTTTTAAAATTTCACTTTAATTAAAGGTCACAGTGACCTTGAAATAGGTCGCGACACACCTTCTACCTAAGATGCATGAAGTGGCCAAGTTTGATGATTCTAAGTCTAATAGTTTTCTAGTTATGGACCGGACAGGATTTTTCCATATTTGGCTATAACTTTTTAATTATAGGTCAGAGCGGCCTACTTTTTGTGCGCGACACACCTTCTACCCAAGATGTATCAGCTGACAAAGTTTGATAACTCTAGGCCTTATAGTATTCAAGTTATGAGCCGGACACGAGAAAAGCTAACAGACGGACGGACGGACAGACGGACAGACGGACAGACAGACGGACATGAAGCCTATAACATAATACGACCCGTCTTAAGACGGGCGTATAAAAACCCAAACAAACTAATTACAATAAAGCCATACTGCAGGTATAAGTACTGGAAGCATTGTGTTGTTTATAAGATGTAAGTTAGACATAAAATTTGGTTTGTATGTTTCAAAAAATTGACATTAGAATGCCACCTCAGGTTTTTCATTGGTGTTGGTTCTGACTTTTCCCTGCCATGTCAAATATTAAAATCATGAAAACATGTGGACAACATTAGATTTTTAAGACTATTTTGTGTCATAATGAGAGATCACTTGAAAGGTCTCAATGAGCTTTCATGCTATTATATAATAAGCACAGCGAGCAGTGTGAAACGCTGCTTATCAATGTGAGCTCTTAAAACAACACATGGGAAAAGAGAACCAGAAGTCTCGACATGTAGCTCAACTGGTTTATACTTAAAACAAAGGAATAGAAATGTAGCAGTTGGGACTTGAAAATTAAAAACAGCAATAAAAAGAAAAATGATCCTTGCTGCTCATCAAAATAAAAACCTATGCACAGTATTATGTGTCTTAGTATAGTCTACTTGTGTGCCAAGTTATATTGAAATCGGACCAAAACTGTAGGAGGAGTAGCATTTTGAAAGAATTTCACAGAAATTTCTTTTTTTAGTAACCATGGCAACACCGTTCATCAAAATCAAAAACCAATGCACAGAATTATGTATCTTAGTGTAGTCTACTTGTGTGCCAAGTTATATTGAAATCGGACCAAAACTGTAGGAGGAGTAGCATTTTGAAAGAATTTCACAGAAATTTCTATTTTTAGTAACCACGGCAACACCAATCAACGGAATCAAAAACTGATGCACAGAATTATGTATCTTAGTGTAGTCTACTTGTGTGCCAAATTATATTGAAATCGGACCAAAACTGTAGGAGGAGTAGCATTTTGAAAGAATTTCACAGAAATTTCTTTTTTTAGTAACCATGGCAACACCGTTCATCGAAATCAAAAACCAATGCAAAGAATTATGCATCTTAGCGTAGTCTACTTGTGTGCCAAGTTATATTGAAATAGGACCAAAACTGTAGGAGGAGTAGCATTTTGAAAGAATTTCACAGAAATTTCTATTTTTAGTAACCACGGCAACATCGTTCATCGAAATCAAAAACCGATGCACAGAATTATGTATCTAAGTGTAATCTACTTGTGTGCCAAATTATATTGAAATCAGACCAAAACTGTAGGAGGAGTAGCATTTTGAAAGAATTTCACAGAAATTTCTTTTTTTAGTAACCATGGCAACACCGTTCATCGAAATCAAAAACCAATGCAAAGAATTATGCATCTTAGCGTAGTCTACTTGTGTGCCAAGTTATATTGAAATAGGACCAAAACTGTAGGAGAAGTAGCATTTTGAAAGAATTTCACAGAAATTTCTATTTTTAGTAACCATGGCAACATCGCTCATCGAAATCAAAAACCGATGCACAGAATTATGTATCTAAGTGTAATCTACTTGTGTGCCAAGTTATATTGAAATCTGACCAAACCTGTAGGAGGAGTAGCATTTTGAAAGAATTCTACAGAAATTTCTATTTTTAGTAACCACAGCAACACCGTTCATTGAAATCCAAAATCGATGCACAGAATTATGCATCTTAGTGTAGTTTATTTGTGTTTTAAGTTATATTGAAATCAGACCACAACTTTAGGAGGAGTAGCATTTTGAAAAATTACTTACAGACAGACAGACAGACAGACAGCTAGACAGACGGACGGACGACGGACGCATTACGATTGCATAAGCTCTTTTGGTCTCTGACCAGTAGAGCTAAAAATCAGGTTTTGCACATATTGATCCAAATGAATTTTTTTCCAGTTACTTGTGGTCCCAAAATCCTTAGCCAAAGGTGTATTACCCCAATTTATGTTCTCCCAGTAGCCAGATATTCCAAGAAAAAAATAAACTTAAGTCTGCCTTGATTTTAATGGATATATAGAGCAGATAAATAGTAGTTTTTGACTAAAATTCACACTGTGCAGACTTCATTTATTGATGCAACATACTTATGACGTCATGTGACATCAGAGTCGAGATGCACAAAATGTCACATGAGATTTGATGAGCCTTATCTATAATACAAGAAGCCCATGGGCCACATCGCTCACCTGAGCACTGTGGCTAGCATAAAAGCAGAAATTAGTTTATTATTGAAAAGTTTAAAGTAGGTCTATACTCGCACTACGTCATTTACGAATAGTAAAACTGGAACCGCGCTTCCTTTTTCCGAGATGAGACTTTTTGACTATATTGGTTTGACTTTTACTTAGCGTTTTAAATATCCGGTAATGATTTTGCTCGAAGTCGGTCGCGTCAACAAACACAGATTCTACAGTTTAAGGATAAATTAATTAAAAAGAGAAGGCTGGGAACAACTTTCGGTTGACAGAATTAATTAGGTAATAAAACGATATTTCTGTGAATGATGCATGTTTTATATGCCGCGCCGAAAACACGGACCATATACATGCCACATCAGAACATGTATCAAACTATCGAGGCGATTATTGTCGACGGCCAAGTTGAAGCTAATAGACAAGTGATAATTCGGAAGAAAAGTAATGACTACGATTTGACTTTGACAATTTATGGATTTTACTAATTAATCATTACAAAATTTACTTTGAATAATAATTATTGCATAAAATGCATACCCCCTTCCCCCAACCTGCTTACCCACGAAACCCAATGCAAAATTATCTTTTGAATAAGTATTTGACAAAACTTGATTCACTTGCAGCACACTTCATTACTTTCTGTAGCAAAATCATCCAGTTTCTGAGAATCAGTCAATTACTTTCATTTTCATCGTCTCCAATTTAAAGACAAGTGTGTTTTATTTTTTTTTTATTTTTTATTTTTCTGAGTAAAATAAAATAAATTTTAGGGACAATAGGTTTTGGGTTTGTATAATTATTGTTTTAAATTATGTTCAACTTTGTTAATACAAGTATACACTCAAACATTAACAGTATTACGGAAATATGTGGCAATATATTACTTCTGGAAGAAAGAAAATAGGGGGGTCCCTCTAGTGTGGAGCTCATACCATGAAAAGTAATGCGTCAACATATAATTTTTTTAAGCTTATTATTTTTCTTAAATATAATTTAGTAAAAATAATGCAAATTTACGAAGTTTGAGTCCATAATTTTTTTTAAATGACCGAGATTGTCCTATGAAGCATATTTTCTCACATTAAATTTTGATACAATAGCCTAACAAAGTGCATCTATTTATAATAATTCATGCAAAACAATGATTATATATTGTTTACTAACATGTTTCTACTCTATTTTGGGAATTAAAGTTGAATATTTAGACTTAAATTAATTTATATACAACAAAATCTAGGATAGGTAAAATTTCAGTATTTTACATTTCGGGGTATATACTCCGATACGCTATAGCGGAAAAGTGAACATGTTGACATCTAATTTTTCTTGTGTCTATCCATTGCTGGGATGTATGTCTATCTTATAAAAGC